TTTTTGGGATGGTGTAAATCGTTTAGTTAGGGGAGTAAATTTTCACATGAATCGAAAAAAAAAAAACAAAATAGTTATTAAAAACATGTTTTGCTGTTTTTTTGGAAAAATTAAGGGAAATAAAAAATTAAATCATGTGCTAATAAAAGGGTTTTTTTTTTCATCCAGGGAAATTATTGAAATGGATGCATGATGAACGGAAGGAAACATTTCTACATCAACTTAATACTTGTGTTTCCAAGATGTCATTCATACCCCAGAAACCTGTACACAAACAACTCTACAAGGCAGGGTATGTCAATTCTTAGCTTATGATAATAGCTTATCTTTCACACTGGGGAAACATGTACATAACATGTTCTATACAGGAAATATTATAGTATAGATAAACAAGGGAAAGCAATGTTTAAAGAATGCTATCTGTATCTAATCCAAACCACAGACTCCAAAACATAAGGGTGCCATCAGAAAATAGGAAGTTCAGTATTATCTCAAGTTATCATTCCCTATGGGTGAACCTGCAAAAAAATTGAATGTGTAATCAAGTGACCAATGACATTGCTAAAATTATCTGTTTTAATAATCAGTGCTTCGATGCATTCAAGGTATGAATGTTCCATAATTCTATATTCAGTGCTTTTTAGTGGTGCATCGATTCAGCTTTCTTTCAATTCGATTCTCGATTATTGGTCTGCAATTCCATTAATTTTGAGTTGATTACTCGGGCTGTGTTAACATTAATTTTTCTACAGGAAACACTGAGAAAACAATATTTAGCTACACTGAAAGAAACATTTGCTTAGAAAATGTTTGTTTAATATCACAAAGGAGATTATTTGCGTAAATGGTGACAACTAATCAAATCGTCAGCTTTGAATCGCTTTTCGGCTTTTATCGCGAGTAATCATTTCACTCCTAGTGCTTTTATATGTTCTACAGGGCTAGGTATGCAATATATAATGTATATCACTGGAGCATGTTTGAATATTTCAGTTATCAACTACTGGTAGAGGCTATAGATGATATGGTTGGTCAGTCTATGGTGGTGAGACAGGTGATGGGGTTACCAGACAAAGACTTTGATGACTTTGGTGATGATACAAGTATGTATACTATATCCTCATACATTCATACTTATTATCTTATTATTTGACTTTTTTTCTTATTGTTTATATATATATATATATTTGTATATATATTTAGAAGTGTCTGATGTTATCATAGAATTTTGCAATTATCATAACATTGATTTTATTTTTGTCATGTGCCGTACAGATTTTCAAACTTTATTTTAACAAACTTATTATGGAACTTATTTCATTTGTTTAAAAGAAACAGTCTTTAAAAACATTTTGTTTCCTACTATTTGATATCCAAATCATTCAGTGTGAGCATTTTTGTGTTGGAAATATCATCATTATTTCAGTAGCTGTTTTTGTTTTCTATTGTGTGGTATATTACGTTTAGGGACAAGCATGTAATGTACATAATTGGGCCTTGTCACGACAAAACCAACATAGTGCGTTGTGACCAGCATGGATCCAGACCAGCCTGCGCATCCGCGCAGTCTGATCAGGATCCATGCTGTTCGCTTACAAACTCTATTAAAAATAGACAAACTAATAGCAAACAGCATGGATCCTGATCAGACTGTGTGGACGCGCAGGCTGGTCTGGATCCATGCTGGTCGCAAACGCATTACGTTGGTTTTGTTGTGACGCGGCTCATATTATACATGTGATAGAGGGAGACAATATATGTAACTAGGATGGTTGCATTTATAAATGTTTACACAGCATAAAATATACTGAAATTATACTTGGCTTGCTCATGACGGCTTTGTTTAGTTTTATTGAAGAAGATTTTACAATGGACACTTTGTGTCTGGAATCATTAACTGGTAAATTCAAAATAAAACAGCAATATTTCACATTAATTTGTTGATGAAAAAAAAAGTTAGTTTAAAATAACTTTTTAATAGTTTATTAGAATTAATGTCTTTTTTGTGGACTTTGGTACATTCAAATCAGCGAAAATATTTATTGAATTTTTTTTGTATTTATATAAATGTGGCAGGCCTTAGTGCAAACTTGTTTTTGTTCTGTAGTACATTTATATCGATACTATTGTGTGATATATATATACCTTAATAATTTCTTTATTTGTGATAAATATATCATTTATTTATAAAGGTGATTCTTCTGAAACAGCTGATAATGAAGGTTATTTTATTTTACTTCAGATGTCGTGAAACTGTAAACTAATCCATACATCTGTTTGCTCTCTTCAATTACAGCATGTTTAGATGCTATTTAATATAATTTAAACATGAAAATAACAGATTTTTGTGTTTTCTTTATTATTTTTTTTTTTTAAAGATAATATTTCCTTTTGAGAGGTAAAAATACCTTATAAAGTGTGAAACAATTGTTTTGACTCACTTTAACAATAAAGAAAAAGGTTGATAGTTTTTATTTTTCAACTAGGAAAAATCTAATTTTTACAAGAAAATTTGAGGCAATGTGTGCTTATAAAACATAAGGTATTTCAGTGATGAAGCATCAACAATGGGCAAAATATATATGTTAGTCAATTATTGTTGTTATAATCATTTCTATTGTCAATGTAATCACATATGCATTTTTTATTACAAAAAAAGGTATCAGTTTTTACTATATCTGAAATTTTAAGATCAAGACAGATTTCTTTTAAAACTCACATTTAAACTGTTTGACATTCTAGCAATGGATTCTCCACGCTTGACCAGAGAGGGTTCCGATTTGTCCTTAAATGGTAAACAATGTAGCACGCCTCTTATTTAATTTATCTCTATCAATTACCCAATCTGTGTAGCTATTTTTTGGAAACAAACCAGGTAATGTCGGTAACCTTGGTGATGCTTTAATCCCACCAGAACTCCCACCAAATGCCATTGGTATTGTCAATTGTCATGTGAAATCCTTTATAGAAACAACAACAACAACAAAATGCACAAAATAAAAATAGGAAACACTCTTAGCATTTTTTTTTATCCAGATAGTAACCTCCCTTTATTGTTTATTTTAATTTGCTTTAACATTTCAGTTGAAATTTGTCCTTGAGATTAAGATTACTTTTCCATTTTGTGTTCCTTTAGAGTAAATCTTAGTTGAAATTTTTTTTAGCAAGATTGTACTTAATTTAGCGATGAAAACATTTTCTTAATTCCTGATTCTAGATAGATTTGAGTGTTATATTAGGTTCAGAAACAGTTTTTTTAATATATTAATGTCCTGCCTAATGGTTTACAGAGTAAAAATTCATTATTATATTAGAGCAAAATAGTCAGACCATAATTATACATTCATTTCACATTGTTTCATATAAGTTTTAAAAGTAATTGTAAACAAATATGGTTTAAAGTGACAATATGCTCACTTTTTTATTGTCAAGTTGAGTTGAATTAGTAACATATTTCAAGAGATTCACTATTACTATGGTGATTGAACAATAATTGATAATGAAAACTGTTTAGGATAAAATATAAAAACTACCTAAACTTTAAAAAGAATTCCCCTCTCTTTTGAGAAATTGAACGATACCGATACTTTCCAAACAATGTTTATAGAAATATCCGTGGGTCACACGGATTATTGATTATTTTTGCATAATCAAATACAGAATTTAACACATTTATGAAAATTGTAAACTTATTTTGACTTTTACCTATACACTCATTCATTTACACTTAGATGGGCATAATGTCACTTTGAATGTTCAGTTTTAGTTTGAATGGCAAATTTTTGCTCTGTATTAACTTAGGATTTAATAATAATGATGTGAAATGAATAGACATTTACAATACTGTGTACATATGTTACAAAAATGTGTTTCTAGAAAAAACATTATGTGAGAATTGATAGTTATAATATTACACATACTGTGTAAGCTAAGCTATTACATATATTGACATATTTGTAAATATTTGTACACAGCATTGTAAATATAAGAATGGAATATATAATAGCATGTATTTAAGATTATGACATATAATATACAAATGTGATGTGTTGTTCTATACCAAAAAAACATGTACCACATTTATTTCATATTGATGTTTCTCAACTCCAAAAAAAAATGTAAAATGAAAATAAATATAGTGTCATCCATTTATTTCATATGGTTTATAGGATCAAACTGTATTTTGTTAAAGAATATTGATCAACTTCCTGAGTTCTGCTTAAAAGAAGAAAAAGTAATAGACTTATACTATAGAACACTGTTTCATTTACAAACAGTTACTTAATTTGTTTCAAAAAAATTCTATGACATTAATATTAGACAATATTTGCAATGTATATGATAAAGATATGTTGTTTTTTGTATAGAACAACCTCAGTTATATTCCTAGCATGAATATGTTTATTGTACAGGACTTAAAAAGAATGTTTTCTCCTGCTTTGCCTGGAAACAGAACATTTGCATGATGCCTGTTGCATACATGTACATTATGTTGCATGCTGCTTGAAATATTTGTGATTATTTAGTGTTAAAGACATTTTAACTCAATCTCTGATATCTGTGTAGACATAGCAGTGTTTTTTTCCCTGTTACTTTTTGGCATAAATAATAAATATTTATAGGTCTAACTACTAGTTGAGGGATTTATTGGAAATGAAACTAAATTATACAGCTTTCAATAAAAAAATTTCATATGCAAAGAAGATATGTTTTTCAGGCATTTAACTTTGTACAGATTTGACTTTTTGACTTTCTATAAAAGTAAAGAAGCAAAAACACTGTGCATGTACTGTTGTGTATTTGAATGTCAGTTGAGCATGAAAACATAATTTTATATCATTTTTCAGAAACATGAATTTCGTTCAACTATATTTTAAGAATGTTTCATAGATTTACAAAAATCTTAATTTAGCTTTGAATATTTTTAATATTTGGTACATTATTTTTCGTTTGTTAGAATCAAAACAGGAATCTCGTGAGAGTAGACGGGCATCTAGAACCCCTTCAAAACCCCTTAGTAACCCTAAATTACTATCTGAAGATAGTACATTGAGTAAGTCAATGTGTAGGTCAGACACACGTGCACACAAACACACAAAGTGTGCAGAAACGTTGCTAGTTTGAAGTGACTTGGTTGGTGTATGGGTTACACAAAATGTATTGTTATTTAAATGTCTTTTACCCTTGTGAAGTTGTGGTCATGTCTATTATTATTGATGGATTGAGGCGTATGTCCAACACTAGCTATGTATATTATTCTTCATACTATGCCAGGAATAGGAAATTATAAATATATCTCATTCCTGTAACTATGTAATGACAAACGTATTGTTGTGTCTTTACACTTGCATTTTTCTTTGTAATAGCAGCATTTACACAGCATACTATTCTAGTTTGCAAATGATACTCATTATTTACACAGGATTATAGCATTATTTATAATAATTCATTATTTATCATAATTTATCCATCATTTCTTCATATCCTTACAACAATTTTTAGCTCGACTTTTTGATAAGAATAAGTAGAGCTATTGTAGTCACCAGAGCATCGGTGTCGGTGTCGGCGTAACCACTTATGTTAAAGTTTTTCTAATACCTTAAATGTTTTTAAAGTGTATTGACATATGGCTTTGAAACTTTGCACACTTGTTCACCATCATGATCCCAACCTGTAGACAGAATTATGCCCCTTTTTCAGCTTAGAATTTTCATTTAGGTTTGCATACCACCTCAGATATTTTCATATTCTATTGAAACAAGTTGAAATGTTATACTCTTTTTTGAGAGCATAATATAATACTCTCTCTATGGCCTATAACTGTAACATGGATTTAAAGAAAAATTTTGTCCTTTTGTTATAAACTCAAAAATTTTACATTATCAAGGCTCTTTTACTATCAAGCACTAAGAATAGTCGAGCGTTGCTGTCCTACCGACAGCTCTTGTTTGTTAGCTCACCTGAGCACAAAGTGCTCAAGGGTGAGCTTTTGTCATCACTCTGCGTCCGTCGTGCGTCTGTGCGTCGTGCGTCCTTCAAAAAATGGCGTCAAACTTTTCAAACAACATCTCCTCCTAAAACAGATGGCCAATTGCAACCAAACTTTACAGAAGTGATCCTTAGGTGGACCCCTTTCAAAGATGTTCAAAAATTTTAATTTCATTAAAAACTCTGGTTGCCATGGCAACCAATAGGAAAAACTTAAAAAATCTTCTTTTAAAAAACCCTAAGAGCTAGAGCTTAGATATTTGGCATGAAACATCTTCTAATGAGTGTCTACCAATTTTGTTCAAATCAAAGCCCTGAGGTCAAAATTGGCCCCGCCCCAGGAGGTCATTGATTTTCCCTATATGCATATAGTAAAAACTTAAAAAATCTTCTTTTAAAGAACTCAAAGAGCTAGAGCTAAGATATTTAGCATGAAACATGTTCTAATGGGTGTCTACCAAGTTTGTTCAAATAAAAGCCCTGGGGTCAAAATTGGCCCCGCCCCGGGGGTCATAGATTTTCCTTATATGTGTATAGCAAAAACTTAAAAAATCTTCTCTGAAAAAACCCAAATAGCTGGAGTTTAGATATTAAGCATGAAACATCTTCTAGTGAGTGTCTACAAAGTTTGTTCAAATAAAAGCCCTGGGGTCAAAATTGGCCCCGCCCCCAGCGTCATTGATTTTCCTTATATGTGTATAGCAAAAACTTAAAAATCTTCTTTGAAAAAACCCAGATAGCTAGAGTTTAGATATTTAGCATGAAACATCTTCTAGTGAGTGTCTACCAAGTTTGTTCAAATAAAAGCCCTTGGGTCAAAATCGGCCCTGCCCCAGGCGGTCATTGATTTTCCCTATATGCATATAGTAAAAACTTAAAAAATCTTCTTTTAAAGAACTCAAAGAGCTAGAGCTAAGATATTTAGCATAAAACATCTTCTAATGGGTGTCTACCAAGTTTGTTCAAATAAAAGCCCTGGGGTCAAAATTGGCTCCGCCCCGGGTGTCATTGATTTTCCTTATATGTGTATAGCAAAAACTTAAAATCTTCTTTGAAAAAACCCAAATAGCTGGAGTTTAGATATTAAGCATGAAACATCTTCTAGTGAGTGTCTACAAAGTTTGTTCAAATAAAAGCCCTTGGGTCAAAACTGGCCCCGCCCCAGGGGTGTCATTGTTTTTAACTATATGTGTATAGTAAAAACTTAAAAAATCTTCTTTTAAAAAACCCAATGAGCTAGAGCTTAGATGTTTAGCATGAAACATCTTCTTATTGGTGTCTACCAAGTTTGTTCAAATAAAAGCCCCTGGATTAAAATTGGCCCTGACAGGGAAGGGGGGGGAGTAGATCATTGTTTTTCATTATATGTGTGTAGTAAAAACTTAACATTGTGAAACATCTTCTAATGGGTGTCTTCTAAGTTTGTTCAAATAAAAGCCCTGGGGTTTAAACTGGCCCAGCTCCGGGTGCCTTTATACAGGTGAGCGACCTCAGGGCCATCATGGCCCTCTTGTTTAATTATAGTCATTAAATAGGTCATTAACTCAAATAAAACCTGTCTGTACTCATGTGAGTAATTACATTTCAAATATCACCTTACTTTACTTACTTTTTACCACTGAACCATCATAACCCAGAACCTCATTAAAATAGCAAGGTCACTAACTCTTGATAAATGCTTAAGTAAAAACATCATGTTTGATCAAAGTTTTTTCTTTGCTATTTCCAATTTTTTTTAAAAACAAAGCAGTACATATCATTCTACATTTATTTGTATTTTATTGCATTACAAACATTTAGGTCGTTAACTAGAAGTAGGATCCCTTTTGCATTGTTACTTAGTCTCAGTTGCTTCCCCTTAAAGCTTTGAATGTTTTGTGTTGTTGGTTTTTACAGTTGGGAAAGGATTGTCAGATAAAGTACCTGGAAGTAGTAAGTTTTACTGCAACCTATCCAATATACCTTGTCCGCCCTGTGTTTGTTGGTTTAATGTTGAAGTTTTCATTACACATGTGTACATGTACCTTATATTTATTTCAAAGAACATTTGTCTTCAAATAATCATTTCAAAATCAAGTATTGGCTGTTATTTGCAAGAAGGTTGACTTTTGACTGCAGCATCTATAGTGACTTAGTGCAAGTCTCATTTTTATATCTAAGGCTTTTTAAATTTTTTTACTTATTAAATCTGCCGAACATCTAGTTTTCTTTTTTTTCTATATATTGCTTTAACTGCACTTTATTGATACAAGACCAAAGATTTTAAAAACGAAAATTATTTTCAAAAGGTAAGACAAACATTTTATAGACATGTGAAGTTGTCTTTTCTAACTTTATGTTTTTTTTTTTTCATTGTTTTGTTTTTAAAATGATTTTAAATGTTGTTATTAGAAAAAAAACCCCGTTCCCTTATCATTTTAAATTTTCTATTTTACTCCATTATTTGCCCGTATAATATTATAAAACTAGAAAGTTTTTTTATATTTTCCCAAAATTTTTTTCTCATATTTTAAGTATTTCACTTATTCCTTCTCATTTATCATCATTTGTTAATAAATATTGAAACATTTTTTCCCATTATGTATCATAGTCACTAAATATAATGTAAAACGTCATATAATTTGGATAAAATCTATTCTTTCATATTTAGTTAATGTGTAACATTTTCATGTTGTGTTTTTCTTGCATTAAATGAAGAGACAAAAATAGAGAGAATGGACAGTCTCTGTAAGTAAGACAAAATATCAGATCTTAGGTGACCAGTCTTAAACTTCAACATCTGATTGGTAATTACTCTAGAAAATATTTAAAAATTGGCCAATGAAAATGTTAGTTTTCATAGACTGATCACCATTATCTGTTATTTGACTAAATTATGAATTTTGCAGAAGAATATGTCATTTAAGGAACTGTTTTGATGTGTTTAAGGAGTAATAAAATCATATGATATATGTTTGTTTAAGAAATATGATTTGTTTATTTTGTAGGTGATGGTAAAGGACGTAAGAGTGGAACAGGCGATAAAGGAGCTGCTAAAGCACCTGATAAGAAAGCTCCTACACCAGCTAAAGATAAAGACAAAGGAGGAAAAGTTTCAAAAGAGGTTTTAATATGATTCATTGTTTGAACTGTTCTTTGTCAATTTCTGGGATATTCAGATAAAATTTCACAATTGATCTTGAGTCTGGTGTGACTGTAAAGATTTGAATAACTGCGTGACTTTATACTGGTGGCAAAATCTTGTTCCTTTCAGTTTTCCCAGATTAAGGGTTAAACATTTTCAATCCAAGATTCTAAAGATTTTTTTTTTACTTGTATTTACACAAATGAATGAATTAAAAGCTAAAGTTTGATGTTATTTTGAAAAGAAGCTCCAGTCCAATGCTGTTATCATATTATTACAAAAATGGCCTAAGAACATGTTGACAGATTTTGATGTCATCTATTTATCAATGTATATTTCTCGTACAGCTGATAAAAGTATCTGTTTTTATCTAAATTTCTTATTAAGTAAAAATATCAACATTTATGTATACGTTCTTTTCAGTCTACAAAAGTAGATATGAAGTCTGGTAAACAAAGTGCGACTCCTGCCTCTAGAGGCCCACCTAGCCGTGGTAAAACTGCGGGTAGTTTAGGGGACAGGGAAAGAACGGGCTCACCAACCAGTATGATGCAAACTTCACTGGCCCATGAAGATCCCATCATTGACAGAAAATATAAGGAGAAAATCTTTGCACAGGTAATTTGAAGTTTGATTGTTTTGGTTTTAAGTCACACAGAAATTGTGAAGGACATATGGCAAATTTCCAGCTTTATTAGTGGATAGACACATCAGGTCCCCAGTTTTACAAGTCGCGCGTTGGTGTTTGGATAAAACTACCTACCATCTGTACTCTTGATAATTTTCAGTACATAAGCTGTTAATAATATTTGAATTACATTTACTTGCACATGAATATGCAACCAGACACATTTTGTTAACATTAAAATGCAACACAACACATTTTGTTAACATTAAAATGTTCACATTTAGCTTAAAAAATTGCAATTTTGTTGTGTTCTGCTCATTAAGTCAAAGGTAGATTATAATACAGTATATATTTGAAGAGGATTTGTATCAAACAAAATATTGTTAACCTGCATTTAACCATCAACATCTTTGCAGTCTAATTGTGTCAGACAAAAAAAGGTTAAGATTTTTGTATGGATTATCTCTTGCCTGTATGGGCTCAGCTGATCATTTACACATTGACAGATAACTACAACATTTGTAAATGATTAACATTGTATATGAAATGTAATTATTTGTTTTTCATTTTTCTTTTTCTTTTTCAGACATATGCAATAGTGGGAGATGCTATAGACAAAATGGAGTTTGTATTTGATGAAATAATTCGAAATGATACCAATAGACCACCTCTTCAACCTTAACCCTTAAAGCCGTTTTAAAAGACCTTCATCATCTTTACTGACTGTGATATTTCAAACATTTTAAATTTCAAGACAAAGTTATGTCGTCCTACATGAACAATAAAAAGTTTTAGACTTAACACAGATGTAATGCATAACCATATTAATACAAAGTGAAAAACTGTGATATTATTTATTTTCAATGTATTTATTTAAAAAAATAATTGTAACACAAGCATGTAATTTATGACTGAATTGGAGTCCAGTTGTCTCAAAAGTGATTTTATTTAGGGAGTTATGAATGGAAACAGTTTGCAATTATATATATTCATGATAATTTATGAAATAAAATTTATTAAGAATCAAACTTATATCTTTTATGTTGTTCTTGAACATTGATTATGTTTTCATAAAAATGTGATGACAAGACATTTTTTGTGAAACATTGAGCACCCATCATAGCCCATCAAGAGAGCAGTTGTAATTTCAATGATTCAACTGCTTAAGATGTCGCCATTGAGATTCGAGGTCACAAGAGTCTTCATACAGTTATTTTAACAAGAAAACTAGATAATGCAAAATGGATATATTGTCCGTGGAAATAGAATACACCAGCACTGTTCAGACCAGAGCACTGTTCAGATTATAAACACAAAGTGGAGAAAATGTAAGAGAAAACTGCAATTCAAAGAGACTATCGTGATCATGGTTTCATTGAATATGTCAATGAGAGACACGATATTCAAGAGCATTTCACCATTAAACATGATTAAAACACATAAGATTGTTCATTTAACATCTATTTATTTATCTTTTATTCAAGTATCATCATTATACAATTTATCACATACATACATAAAATTTATATACATCTGTATACATTGCCAAAAGCCATTGTGGGGTGGAATTGTAAGAGACTTTTAATATAATTTAGTATTATGTCCAGACTTTCATATTACAACACATAATCTTCTCAATAAAGGTAAGAATTCCTTACTAATTTTAGACAGCAACTTTATTATATTTTCAGTGTTAGTTAAATAAGAAATGAAAGAAAAGATAAAATCCCCCCAAATAAACGAGACTTACCTTGGTTAAAGTTGATGTTTGTTTGGGATTCTTTGTAGTCATATAACACTGACGAGATCAGATGAGATGTACACGATGATCAGCCGATAACCTCAGAGTTCAACACCATAAATACTTCCTTTACAGAAAATTCAATCGAACACCTATATCCTTGAAAGGGGTGGGCAGAACAAAAAAGGGTAGGGCATCTGATCTCGTCAGTGTTATATGACAAAGAATCCCAAACAAACATCAACTTTAACCAAGGTAAGTCTCGTTTATTTGGGGGGATTCTTTTACGTCATAACACTTCCGATCTCAGATGAGACTTCAAAGCTGAATTTTGTGTAAATGAATCGATTTTCAGACAGCTGTGAACCAAATTAAAAATATAACTCTATATAATAACATTGCCCTTTTTTATTCATAAACCCACAAAGCGCAAAATGCGCACAAATAGACATTAAAGTCAAGCAATATGCATGATCATATTAACAGTTGTAGAACCTACACCTTGAAAAATTCACTATAGTCTAAACACAGCATCACTGTAATTGTCCTGAGAATTTACAATCACTTTGTCATAGAATTTTCCAAATGTCTTAGCATTTGACCATCCTGCAACCTTAAGAATTTCATCAATAGGTACACTATTTAATTTTGCTTTTGATACTGAAGCTGATCTAACACTGTGCGGTTTATACAAGTTACAATCAATACCTGCACGAAACATCACTGTTTTTAACCACCTACTTATAGTATTTTTAGTCACTGGCTTATGTGGTTTAACATAACTTATAAATAAACATTTGTTTTCTCCTCTTAATGTGTCAGTTCTTTTCAAATATTCATAAAGAGTGTGAACAACACAAATTTTTTGATCCAATGAAAAAGTTTTAAGTTCTGCAAAAGGCGTTTTTACGCCTGGTCTAGACTGTTTAAGTAAGTCACTATAAAATAATGTAACTGAAGAGGATACCTTCCTCATATTTTCAATTGTCAATAAATGCAAAGACTGAGAACGACCTGCGATTGATAGTGCAATTAGCATTGCCAGCTTTAAAGTTAACTGTTTTAAAGTAATAGTAGTAACCGGCCATAATGTTTTCAAATAATTAAGCACAATAGAAACATCCCAGGTTTGACAATAACGAGAAGTAGTAGGTCTTAAATTATATACACCCTTTAGAAATCTAATAACCAAAGGATGTGAACCTACAGTAAAACCTTCACAAATTATACCCATAGCAGAAAGAGAAGATCTGGCAGAATTAATTGCACTATAACTTTGACCCTTATCAAATAAATAAGTCAAAAAATCTAAAACTGTTTCAACAGATGTTTGAACGTAACTAATTTGTTTTTCATTACAGTACTGAATCCATTTTTGTATGTACATTGTGTACTGAGATTTAGTTCCAGACCTCCACGAGGCCATAATGATATTGGTAGCGTTCGACGAAATTTTTCGTTTTTGCAACACATGCCTGATAAGCGACATGCCATGAGTGTTAACTTTTTGTACAAAGGATGTACCTTCGTTGTCCCTGGGATTTTCAACATTTCTGGACCCGAAGGAAGAAGATATGGTATTTCTATCAACATCTCCATTACTGCCGGAAACCAACTCTGTGTTAACCAAACTGGGACAATCAGTATACAATCGCTCTGGTCTGCTCTCATCTTTGCCAGTAGCCTTGGTATTAAACTGAAAGGAGGGAAAGCATAAAAATATATATTTGACCAGTTCATACTAAAAGCATCAATGAACTCTGCCTCGGGGTCAGGTTTCCAAGAAACAAATTTTGTTAATTGTTTATTTATTCTAGAGGCAAACATATCGATAGACGGACATTCCCATAGTTCACAAATCTGGCCAAACAAATTTCTATCAAGTATCCATTCAATGTTATCATTATGATTACGAGATGCAAAATCAGCACAATTTTGAGCACCTGGTATATAAGCTGCTGATACCCAGAAATGTTTTTCTATAGCCCAAAGCCAAATTTTCTTTGCAAGATCATCACAATCTTTAGATTTTATGCCACCCATATTATTAACATAGGACATGGCACAGGTATTATCAGTCATAACTTGTATATGTGAACCATTAGATACATCTTTACAAAAAGACTTTATAGCATAGAATATAGCTAACAATTCCAAATAATTTATATGTTGCTTAGCTTCTTCTGAAGTCCAGCGACCACCTATACGAGTATTACTGCAAACTGACCCCCAGCCTGTTGAACTTGCATCGGTAGTAATAAAAATATCAGGGGCATTTTGCGAAATTTTTCTGAATGATGAAGGAAGATTCTCTATCCACCAGACCAAATCAGATTTCATGCTGCAATTTATTGGCATTTTTGCAGAGTAATCCCCTTTATTAATGCGAAGAGCCATGATTTTTTCCCTTTCTAGGTTTCTATAAAAAAGTGGGCCATGCTGGACAGCAGAAAAAGCTGCAACCATTAAGCCTATCACTCTAGCTACATCCCTAATACTGGCTGTAGTTCTATTCATCAAAGATTTGCATTCAAACAAAATTGTTTCTCTTCGACTTTCTGTTAAAGAGACTATCATTTTCTTTGAATCTATGTAATTCCCGAGAAAAACTATTTTTTGAACAGGGATCAATACTGATTTATTTTCATGAATAATAAAACCAACACTTTCTATTAAAGAAACTGTATCACTAACATTGTTCTGGCATTCAATTTTAGAATCGCCCATTAATAACGAGTCATCAATGTAACCAGAATTTGTGTGGCCCATTTTGCGTAACTTGGCATAAATTGGTTTCATTAACTTTGTAAAGAGTCTAGGAGCACAGCCAATACCATTAGGTAAACAAGTATACTGATAAATTTCATTTTTCCATTCAAATCTTAAAAATTTTCTATGTTCTTTGCAGATAGGCACCGAGTAGTATGCATGACGCAAATCAACAGAGGCAAACCACATATTTGGCTTAATTAATTTCAATGTGGATTCAAAAGTATCCATTTTAAAATGATGATATACTACATGCTCATTTAACTCTTTTAAATTAAGAATCATTCTATGTTCACCGTCTTTTTTCGGTCTTGTGAAAATTGGAGAAATAAATTGACCTTCAGTTTGTTGGACTTGTTCCAAAACATTCATACTTAATAACTTGACCAGTTCTTTTTCAATTATAGTTTCATCATGTTCATTGTGAAAATGATACGGCTTTTTAATTTGAACAGGGATATAAGATTTAAAATCTATGTGACAATTTAATGCGATGTCTAAAACAGACTCATCAGAGGTCAAATTTCTCCAATTTTGTTCAAAATTACTAAGCCTACCTGCTTTGAAATTCTTGTTTTGGTATGTGGCCACATCTTTTCTGGGTCCACTCTTAGGCTTTGCAGAAAAGGGAAACCTATATGCTCCCCCACGTCTAAATGGCCTTCTACCTCTACTAAAAGAGTTGAAACGTCCAAAACCTCTACCGACAGGGCGACCTCTAAACATGACCTGTCTGCTAATCTTATTTAACTCTTGAATGTCTTTAATATCTTTAATCATTGAGTCACCATATAGCATATCTGTGTAGGGCAAGGAAGGAGAACACAAGTAATGGAGTTTTGGATCCATATCCTTTCTGTGAAGTTCCCTTCTACGAATGTTGATCCATTTATTAGACTGACCAAGAAGCCCCAAGGCTGATGTACCCCATTCTAACATCTGTTTATCAAAGTCAGAAGCACCTTTATCTAACATCTTAGCAACATTACAAGACGCTTTAATTACCAAATTTTGTATTCCTCTCAATTTAGAATCTTCAGTTTGGGTAACCGGTTTTAACACGGACCATACCCCTGGGTTAACACGCGTTTCTTTTAACGCCTCACAATTTGATGGTCTAAAAATAGACTTGGAAATATCAGATAAATTGTCCTCTTGCATACCTTCTCTAAAAGTAGTGTTAATAAGATCTGCCAACTTTTGATCTACTTCATTGTCAACAGTATCAATACGTTTGAACTTTTTCACAAAAGAACTAAAAAGGTTATCATCATCTTCATCCTGCTCAACCTCACTAAAAGGTCGCTTACTACCATGCTGTTCTTCCGATAAACCTTCAGAATCTATACCATTATCATAATTATCATCATAATTTGAACCATCATAGTCAAAATAACCATGGCTGTAATCATCAGACTGATATTCATAAAGGTGGTCAATCCTACTGGTCAAAGACTCCACTTTCTCATTAGTTTTGTTTATGTTATTGTTCATGTCACGTAAAATCATCAAAGCTTCACGATTGAAACCGGAAATATCGTTACTTACAGTTGATGAAGACGATTTCACTGGTGTCTTCTTAGTAGAAGCCAACTTTTTCCCTTTATCTGTGGTTTCTTTCACATTATCTGTACTTTGTACGGTCTTCTGTGTAGAACTTGACCCAGATGTGCTCTTTCCCAGCATGGCGTCCGCCATCTTGAATGCGTACTACGTCACACAAAATGTATAGAACGTAGGCAGTTTATGTCTAAAAATAAAAATAAATGTATACTACGTATACAAAACCGGGAAAAACACGTGTAATGCACAAAACTTCTACAATGCACAAAATACTTACAATAAATAAATGAAATAACTTATTCTAAACAAATTTAAGTCCGTAAAAGGACGAAAGAAATAAGTCAAAATTTGTCCAACACACGTTGGGCTAATAAAATTCGACCCACGTCGAATACACATTTATATTCATTCCGTAAAGGAAATCAAATAGCAAAAAGAAAGTCTATTCAAATAAGGTTCTTATCGTAACAAAAAGTGAAACGATGAAATAAGCAAGAACCTACTTCAACAAGTTATCCACCCACGTGGAAATATCGGCTAGTAGAGTAAAAACGAACCGCGTCCGTTCACTCTGAAAATCGTATACGCACTGAGGTTATCGGCTGATCGTCGCGCGCATCTCATCTGAGATCGGAAGTGTTATGACGTAAAAGAATTGGAATTGATTTGGAAAAAAACCCACCAGATGCACTAGTGTAATAAGCACCATAAAATATGTATCATCACTTAGGACTTGTAGCAAAAAGATTAGCAAGGAATTTCTAACATAGTAAAACCTTTACGCCTGATAAGAGTTTAGACTATATACAAAATTAAAATATTTAGTAGTAGCTGAAAACTTACACTGTACAATGTAGAGTTCAACAGATATAGAAAATTCAGAACATTAAGTAGACAAATTGTACAGAGCATTGTTTCTAGTTTTCAACATATTACAACAGGTGATTTTCTAACCATATCAAAATGTTTAACTTTTCTGAATCATTTAACACATTAAAATTATAATTGACATTACAGGTTAATCAAACATTATTTGTCTCTCCCTAACACACATTAAGCATTTTAGCATAACGTGGAGCAGCTCTGATTCTGATTCAACACAATTATCACACAACTGACATGCTTTAATGTTTCTGGAAGATTTTTTATATTTCCCTGTCTCTGATCTAATTGGTGCCACACCGCAACTAAACTTAGAGAAGGGGGAGATATATGACGAAAATGGTAAATTAATTTTGCAATAGCGTTCAACAGCATCAGAATGTTTGAAATTTCAATATGTCCCAAGCTCATTTAGGTGACATTCCAATAAAACAACAATTGTTCTAATTCCTTGCGTAAAAACGGTTATTGAGAGTTCATGTTAAGGCTTAGCGAATTTAACTATTCTCTGATATTAATAAGATACCATTTTCTACATCTAGTATTTACTTTATCCAAAGCCTATGCAAATATACATTTATTTACTTTATAATCATCATAATTTAAATAACGACTTTAATGATTATACACAAAAAATTCAATCAATAATGATTCTACTCTATTTCATCTTGTACCGATACATTTACTGGCCAGAGCCAAGTTAAAATCTCATTGCTCTATGACTGGCCAAAATTATGCATGAAAACTATTGTTCTCCACTAAACATAACCTAATATGCAAGGTCTTACTGTATGAACGTCATTTTTATCCATAAAGTATCAGTTTACGAAGAAAAGAAAATATTAATTCTATAAAGAGATGTTTTTGATTACGACGTATTCCTTTGTAATGTTTATATCCACCTCACATGGAATACTTTCACAATATCAGCCTTGTCTTTTTCTTTTTCTGATGAACAACTTACGTACACTTTTTGTTCTCTGTCACAGTATGTTACAGCTTTTGGAAAATAAATATTTGCTTTCTCTAGTCCAATAATATCACATTTCTTTAAGCTGCTCGACAATCTCAGAATAGTGTCACTGTCTCTGTAACATACCAGTATAGTCTCATCTTCTAATTGTTGTTGACCGTAAGGGTATTTATACCCTTGTTCTTCAAAAACGATTTTAACATTTCCTTTCCAGTCCATTTTCAAAACCTTGTTATTTTGACTCTTATCTGTATCAGATACACATATGAACGTTTCATCCTTGCTGATCAAAACTCTGATTGGCCCATATAATAGAGTAGGGCAACCAAGAACATTGAGAATTTCTCCTTTAAGATTCATTATGATTATTTTCTTTACTGCCAAGCCAGAGACTACCAATTTATCCTGGCCATAAGCTACACCAATGTACTTTTCTTTCACATCTATACGTTGATGTAATGAAAGTTTCGCGTCAGAATAAGACAATATCTGAAGAAACGTTTCATTGAACAAAGTTACAGCAAGCTTTTTGTCTGGAAGAGTTATTACATCGATCGGATGTGAAGACATCTTTACCTCTGTTACAACCTCTTTTTTCTCAACGTCAATTAGTTTTATATTTTTGTTACTGTTATCAGAAACAACCATTTTCGTAGGAGCAATCATTACCAGACCAGTAATGTTACTTTTTTCTTTCTCTGGTTTCAGTTTCATGTCTATTGTTTCTATATATTGTAATTCTATTGCTCTATCTTGGCACGGCTGTACAAATGTTGACAATGTTCCATAACTTTTCTCAGTCTTAAGAAAATCTATAATGCTTGCGTTGCGGGTAAATCGAATACAATCGTTTGTTGTATTTGCATGCAATACGTTCATTTCCTTATCTGTCTGTATTGGCAGATTTTTTCTTACGTTTTTAATCTCGATAAAAAGCTTATTTTGCTTGTTCTGTTCCTGTAATGACCTTAACAACGAATGTGAACATTCAAGTTCTTCAATTATCTCTAAGCAAGCAGCTTCTACGGTTTCTTGCTTACATTTTTCATTTTTTACAATTACATTAGCTTCTTTTAATATTCTGGTTTCCATTCTATCCAAACATTCATTTATCTCTTTCCTGAAGACTTTGATATCTTCAACAACTTTGGCATGACTCTGGTCTAGATTTTGCGCAGCTTTGCTAACATATTCTACGTTCGATTTACATCTTTTAATCAACGTTTCCATTTGTTCTAATATATCAGCCATCTCGTCAGACATGTTTCCAGAAACATCAGGAATATAGTCCACATTACACTGTTTGTGTTCTAATGTAACGCACACATAACAAGCCACAGATGTGTGATCCCTACAATAGAATTCTAGTGGTTTGTCTTGGTGTTTCGTGCAAAAGTCGGCCGTATCAACAGATGCAGAAGGTGCATTTACCTGGATCTTTGGCATGGAATCCTTGTCAACAAGGACATGATTTCTCATTGGGCGTGGCCGTCTGTGATGTTTGAAGCATGTTTCACATAGATGCTCCTGGCAGTTTTGGCAGAAGCCATAAGCTGGTTCCTTCAAACCATCATTATCACACGGGAGACATACTAATGTTGAGTTTTCTGCACTTAGAGCTCCTAGATCTAATTTACCTGGGACCTCCATCTCAGCCTAAAAATATTACATAAAAATTCTTCATTTATATTGATATTTATTTCAAAGTCATATAAATTGTAGTCTTAAAAACATGGGATGAGATAAACCTATTACTTTACGTTTAACACTTTATCAGTTTATTCAGTGTCTGTTGTACAACCGTACATATCTATTGAAGAATTCATTGTTTTCAGTTTTATTGTATAAATATTCATAAACTTTAGATTTTAAATTTATATTGTAACTTTTAATATTGGCTATCTCATCATCACACCAATAGTATGTTTGGTTCACGGACACACTCCATGGTAAAATAATGGAAAAGCGCGATAAATTTTATCTATTATCAAAACAAATAGCCAATCAAGTATTACTTTAAGAATGACAACTGGCACAGGTTTATTGAAATTATCTTAATCTCAGTGAGTTAAGGATAACTGATATTAGATTATAAAGTCATAGAGGAGTTGTCTCATCGACGGTGTTCTTTAGCTCACAGTATTTGATTATATTTGGTCTTTCATAATGGAATAATTTTAGATATTTTTGTGGGGTCCTTATAATATTTACATTGAAGAAGGGTATGGAACTCATCTCCTATATCGGAGAGGCATTTAAGCATTTTCTTTCACTGTATTTAATGCGTCTGGTTTTCGATTGCACGGTTTCAACTGGTAATTCATGGTTTGATGTCCTAAATTTTTAGCTCGACTATTCGATAAGAATAAGTAGAGCTATTGCAGTCACCCGAGCGTCGGCGTCGGCGTCGGCGTAACCACTTATGTTAAAGTTTTTGTAATAGTTCAAATATTTTCAAAGTCCATTGACATATGGCTTTGAAACTTTGCACACTTGTTCACCATCATGACCCCAACCTGTAGACAGGAGGAGGTAACTCTATCAAGCATTTTGACAGAATTATGCCCCTTTTTCGACTTAGAATTTACGTTAAAGTTTTTGTAATAGTTCAAATATTTTCAAAGTCCATTGACATATGGCTTTGAAAACTTTGCACACTTGTTCACCATCATGACCCCAACCTGTAGACAGGAGGAGGTAACTCTATCAAGTATTTTGACAGAATAATGCCCCTTTTTCGACTTAGAATTTACGTTAAAGTTTTTGTAATAGTTCAAATATTTTCAAAGTCCATTGACATATGGCTTTGAAACTTTGCACACTTGTTCACCATCATGACCCCAACCTGTAGACAGGAGGAGGTAACTCTATTAAGCATTTTGACAGAATTATGCCCCTTTTTCGACTTAGAATTTACGTTAAAGTTTTTGTAATAGTTCAAATATTTTCAAAGTCCATTGACATATGGCTTTGAAACTTTGCACACTTGTTCAACATAATGACCCCAACCTGTAAACAGGAGGAGGTAACTCTATCAAGCATTTTGACAGAATTATGCCCCTTTTTCTACTTAGAATTTACGTTAAAGTTTTTGTAATAGTTCAAATATTTTCAAAGTCCATTGACATATGGCTTTGAAACTTTGCACACTTGTTCACCATCATGACCCCAACCTGTAAACAGGAGGAGGTAACTGTATCAGGCATTTTTTTTACTATCAAGCACTAAGAATAGTCGAGCATGCTGTCCTACCGACAGCTCTTGTTGAATCTTATTTCCTTTATATCGTGGTAATTTTTTGAGTAGTTTTTAATTTAAATTCCTTTTTAAAAAGAGCATATTTTCTACCTTTATTTGATATTGTCAAATCTGATGACCTCTTTTGAATGAATTGATTAGCTAAAGTTTCCTTGATCATTTTCACTATGTTATTGCTTGACAAAGATTCTTGTTGTAGCCACAGGTTAGAATAGCCAGTATTGTAATGTAATTATTTTGTTTCATCCATTTAAATAATTAAAATAATTTAAAAGTATTTGAATAAAGCACCACGTAACAGGGTTATGATAATTTCGTATTTTTATGGGTTACAAGTTTGCTTGCAATATAGTAAAAAGAATGGGGTACTTTTTCTAGTTTTGATGATTGTTCTTAAGAAGTATGTATTTCCAATGAAAAAAGAGTATTGATTTTTTGTGCCAAATTTTTTCATATTATTTTTTTCTGTATTATTTTTAGCTTTCAGTACTTACAATAGTCATTAAATTCGTTGAGAATTTTTAACAGTATCGTCTGCGTACAATAGGATTAGAACTTTCAATAGATATACGAGTATAGATAATAGAAAGTGTGTTTCAATACTGTTAGCTATTACCTCAATTACTTCATTACTGCGTGACATTAAAAATGTTAAAGGACATTAAGGTTAAAAACTAATTATCAGGGAAGATAAATGATCAAATGATCCCCGTGGCGACGCCTTTTTCGCATGTAAAAATGCTGAATTATTTATTGATATACACAATTTAATATAATTATACATGATTACCTTTATTTTTAAAAATCGGTTTAATTGTACCTACAAGCCAGCTGTCAGGCAATATTCCCGTGTCTAACACTTTATTAAAAAACAATTCATAGATAGGTATCATTAAACATTTTGAGCTTTTTAAATATTCATTTCATATCATGTCATCTGATGGGGTTTTGCCAGTGTTTGATTTTAGATCACTTGTCAATTTCTTCCTTTGTTATTGGCATTTTTAGAATTTCATCATCGTCATTTAATTTGAAATTGGGCGGCAATTCGTTAGCCTCATTTTCTCCAGAAGAATTCATATTTTTGAAGTAAGGTGGGGGGGGGGGTAATTATGTTTTGTTTTGGTTTCATGCTATTTAAATATTTTCTATAATCTTTCGGCCTTTTCATAACTTTTTTTCATTATAGTTTTTATTTTTCAGGATGAAACTTTTCATTACTTTCATTGTAATTATTTAGCCTTTAGGTTTAATTTATTAATGTGTTATTTCAATTTATGATACCTTTTTGAGCTAAATTGTATTTTATGTGAGCGTTCCTACATATAGGGCCGAACTAATATTTGTTGTGTGTGTTTTCTATTTTTTTTGTTTCTGACACGGGCTGCTGAAATGTTATTTTGGGTGAAAAGTTTTAACAGCAGAAAACTGAAATAAAGCACTGACTTTTTTCAGATACCATATTTAAAACATTTTTGGCATTGCCGGTTTTACAGTTTTCTAATAATATTTTGATTCCATTTATATCAGAATTATCTAAATTCGATATAAATTCATGACTTGTTACTTTGCCATTTTATATGTGATGATTGGCGAACTTTTTCTTATTTGTTAAATTCATTAATTCGCACATTCTTCATAATATTTAATATTGTCGATAAAAAAACAATGGCTACGGAATACAGACTGTCTACTTCGATTATTTCATAATCGAGAATTTTTTTTAATAAATAAACGCTTGAAATACAATAGTCAATTATCGAATCGTTGCAAATGTACTTTTGCCAATGTTGGAATCTTTTCCTATTCTGTCTTTACATCTGCACAAATTATATTATAACAAATGTTTCTTTTTATCGTGTGAGAACCTGTTTTATGGTATAATAAATTATTTAAATGTATTGTGTGTCTCAAAGAAATGCATCATTTCAGAGTCACAGTCAAAATTATTTGCTAAAAAAGAGTCATTTTCTAGGTTATCAGGTAACGTTCCTTAATGTGCATTTGTATCGCCAGTTTTTGCTTCAATTTGGAACAATATCTTGCGCCATAAGAGATAATAAAACAGTATTGTAAAACAATGATTGTTAAGGCGGAACATACATAATAGCGATAAGAAGATTTTTCATCTAAACATAAAACATTTTTGGTTAATTTTAACCACAAAATTGACTCATAATCACTATCTAAGATTTCTGTATAAAGAGAAATATTATTGTGTACAAATACACCTATTCTGCCTGATTTGAGAGACAAATTCATAGATTTGAAAAGATATGACATAAGTGTCGCTCAGCTTTGTTTCAGTAACATAAAAATATCAAAATTATTCATCAGATTCACTACTTCTGGGTATGTAATGCTAGTTTTCAGTCCACATTTACTCAGTGTTCCAATTTTAAGTTCCGGTTAGCTGGCTAAGTTTTTCCCCTTATATCATATTTATCTGCCGGGATCGAATCTGACGGACCGATGATTAATTGTATCATAAATAAAATTATCGTTAGAATTGTTTGATTTAGTATTGACATGTATCATGAATCAGTATATTTGTGTAGTATAGAAGGTCATAGGAGGAAAGTCCCTGCTGAAAGGTCTTTTTCTCACGCCGATAACCTGTGACTGTATATACCACCGTTACTTCAAAGTACTTGAACCGGCCGATGTGCAGGGTATCATTTTGATTGAATTCTTATCAAATAAAAAAGAAATAGAAATTTGTGGAGGGTGACATTATTTTCAAATAAGAATTCACTTTTCGTCAGTATTTAAAACTTTTGTTGTATTAAATCTGATATAGAAATTTGTTGCACCATTAGATAACACAATATTTAGACAAAATTCAATCGTAAACCGTTTTTTGCATACTGACATCAAATATCAAAGAGATTTAAACTCTATACCAGTTGTCTGGAGGTAAAGGGAAAATACTAGTGAAGAGTCCTTAAAGTTTAATTTTGTACGGTTATTTTATATTTTGATTAAAGAGAGAATATCATTTAACTATCCTTCAAACAGAGATACATTGAGTGTTTGTTTATTTCAAAAACAAGAAAATGGATCTTAAACAAGTTAAAAATTTTAAATTTTAAAAATTAGTTTACCGATTGGTCGTTCGGCAAATGATTTAGTTTCCTGATAAGATAATCAGACAGTGTCAAATTCATCACAGTGATTTTTGACCTGCTACGCTATATAGTGAAGCAAAGGGAGACCAATGCGCATGAGTTTATATCAGTGTACTTAAATAAAATATATTAAGTGTCACGTGACTTGTTAATATTTTATTTAGCAAATAAACAAACATTTATCACAATTAGCAAAATTTCACATATTGTTAACTTTTTGCTTTGATTTTTACCTCGATATGCTTTATGATTTAGAAAGGTAAAAATGAAATATAAAAAAAGAAACAAAACAAAAGTTGTGGTATGAGACTTGTTTTGAAAACTTCAAATATACCTTTTATCCTTATGGCGACAATGGCATTATGTACTAACATTAATTTTGTTAGCATGCTGACGAAATTTGATTTGATATAATATTAATATTCTTAAATTTCTTACCTTGTGATAAATAGGCTAATATTGGACTTTGGAACGCGGAAGTTTAACTTAACTTGACAGGGGAATGCACTCTTATTGAACGTTGCATTATCTATCTTATTTTAAAGCGGTACGCCAATTTTCACGAAAATTTTGAAAATGTATTAACAAGTAACTAAACGATTGTGAAGTGAACAAAGAAAATAAGTTATACGATGCAAACGGCAATTATAACCCATGTTTGTTTGAAAAAAGGGTAAAATGTGCAAAAAATAGCCTTTACTGTGTTAGTAACGTAGTAGAAATATGGTGAAAAATACTGCAAAACAGTAAATTAACTCACACAACATAGAAATTAATAATTTTATCTTTAATCATTTTGCTTTCAGTTTCAGTTTAAGTTTGATTTTTTAAAAATATTTTGGCTTATCTGAAGGCATGCAGCATTAAAATAAATGGGCCTTTTGTAAATACAAATCTTGTTTCTGTTGTGTAATATGATATTCTCTCAATAGTCATGTAGGAGAATGCTTTAACATGTAAACATATGTTTTATTGGTTATTATAGCATAAAATCGGCTATTTTTCCCTCTTTTGCCCATGTTATAACAGGGCCAAAACCATGCGTTAACATAGTCACGCGCTCTTGTTATAGTCCGGTTTTACCTATGCGCAATACATACCGGGCCCAGAAAACAAACAAAAAATGACGATTTGCCCTGTTTGCCAGAGTCATGCGCTCTTGTTATATTGGAAGTATAAATTCGAGGGCCTCAGTCGCAAAACGGCGAACAGCCTTCAAGAAATTATGCCGGCAATACGGCGTATAGACATCGCCATCAACAATTTGAAAACAGGTGTGAAAAAGTTTGTATTTGAGCACGTGGCGAATCGTTATTTAATTGTGGCGAATCGTTATTACTCTGTGTCGAATCGTTATGTGGCGAATCGTTAGTGTGGCGAATCGTTACATTACCTCGCCGCTTATCTTGGTTGTCGCCCTTTCTTAGAAACGGACAGTTGTCAATGTAAACAAATAGAATCTGTCATTCAGTTTAATCCCCCGATTAACTTACAAAAATGGAAAGCACAAAATGAATATAAGAAAACGTTGTTTTATTGACGTTTATATTGATAAATGTTCTGTATGTTTCTTTGAGAGAATAATGTTTTATGCCTGATTTTTTGTAAACTCGTGCTTAAAAAAACGATTCTGAAATTGAATTTGATGTCACTGATCTTTTTCCTACCGCCAATCTGTAATTATTCTAGGAATGTCTGAGGCGCCTGTTTTGTCTTTGGTAGAGTAATGTTATGTCTTTCTTAAGTTAATATATCTCTAAAGTTAAACTTTGTTAAATCAATTAAAATTCGAAATTTCGTTCGGTTCTCAAGTTGTTGGCCCCGGATAAAATAAAACGCATACGTAAAACATGTAGAGTTGGATAAATACCGTTCAAGCACAAGGATTTAATGTTTGTGTTTTATATATAATATACATCATGAATCTGTTTTAAAATTTTATGCTATAATATCGTCAACGCACGTTTATTTCGTGTTATAACGTCTGCAGAGTCCCTCGGAACTGTTGGAGCCCTCGCCCTACCGGGCTCGGGCACCAACCGTTCCTCGGGACTCTGCAGACGTTATAACACGGAAAAACGTGCGTTAACCCTATAGAATAAAACTTATGTATATTCATTCAATGGTGTTCTAGTAATAACTGACCTTCGGTCATTCAGACAGTAGTACAGTTTTAAAGGTTCTTTTTATATATTTTATGAAAAACATAATATATTGAGTTCGAGTGATGCATAAAATCTTTAATTGAAGAATTTTCTCTTTCACAGATTTTGCGTTGCTTAATGGCTTGGCGCAATTGAAGGGAATAAATCGTGACGTTACTGTTAAGTAACATAAGAATATGTGGTAGTTTTATCGCTTTGATTTATATTTATTCAATATAATCAACAGTCTTGAAAGAATGCTGACGAGCACTAGTATATTAGCCAAAGCATTTATGGTCGACTATTAATTTAATTTTCTTGACATAAAATAGTTAATTAAAAGGCAGTTCCATACAATCATGTATATTTTCGTTGAACAAATATGAGTTCAGCTAGTTTGAGGCATCAGCGGAAGATTATTTATGAGCCATTATCAAACCTAGCTTAATTTGTTGTATTTAAGTTTGAAGACAATCTCTTTATAGAAATAAAGTTATATATATAGCCAGTTAATGAAAAATATTCATTAAGTTTTTTGTAATTTTTTTTTGAGGCCCCAACTGGGTAACCCCGTTTATTTACCCCGTAATAGGTATGAGAGGGTCGGGGTCATCCCTCTGATACCTTACATGATATCTACATAATATTTAAATCATCATCTATAATAATATTTTTTATATAATTACAATATACATTATATTTAAACATTCATTCAATTTTCATATAATATGTATAACAATTATGTATGATAATGTATTATGCAACAGCTTCAAACAAACAAAGAATATTGGTTTGGGGTAAATTATTTTTGTAAATTATGTATTCATTATGTCTTTTCTTAACCTAAAACAATATTATTACCACTCAAGATGGTTGCTACTTTGTCAACCAATTAGTCTCATCATTACAGCTTAAATAACTTCATATCTATTTTTTCTTTCCTTTTTTTACTTTTTACAATAGAATAATTCTTTGTGGTCAGTACAAGAAGGATATAATGACCATTTCAGAACGCAAATTATGCAAGATAGCACAATTTGATCTAAAATAATTAATACTGCATTTCTTATTCTCTTTCTTATTCTGCTAAAAAATGTCCAGTCCTACGTTTATTGTTTGAACTCTCCTTTTTCAATTTTGGGATATTCAGATAAAATTTCACAGTTGATCAGTCAGCAGAGCCTAGAGTGACAGCACAGATGTGCATAATTGCTTGACTTATACTTGTGGCAAAAACATGTCGCTTTCAGTTCCAGCAGTATAAGGATTACAACTTTTCAATCAAAGATTCTAAAGATTATTTCTCTACACAAAAACTAAAGTTTGAAAAGAAAGCTCTGGTCCAATGCTATTAACATATTATTACAAAAAAATAATACGTATTAAGTAAAAATATCAACATTTTTTTGTATACATTCTTTTCAGTCTACAAAAGTAGATATGAAGTATGATAAACAAAGTGCGACTCCTGCATCTAGAGGCCGACCTAGCAGTGGTAAAACTGCGGGTAGTTTAGGGGATAGGGAAAGAACGGGCTCACCAACCAGTATGATGCAAACTTCACTGGCCCATGAAGATCCCATCATTGACAGAAAATATAAGGAGAAAATCTTTGCACAGGTAATTTTAAGTTTCTTTTGGTTTAGGTGACACAGATCATATGGCCTTATAGCAAATTTCCAACTTTATTAGTGGCTAGACATCTCAGGTGTCCAGATGTACAAGTCAAGCGTACTAGGTGTCTACGTAAAACCACCTACAATCTGTAGGCTCGATTATGTTCAGTACTTCAGCTTCCTGATATAGGAATTACATTTACTTGCATTTTATTATGCAACCAGACACATTTTGTTAACATTAAAATGTTCACATTTAGCTTTAAACTAGCAACTTTGTTTTGTTTTGCTCATTAAGTTAAAGGTAGATTATGATATATATATGAAGAAGATTTGTATCAAAACAAGTATTGTTTACCTGCATTTAAACATCAACATTTATACAGTCTAATTGTGTCAGACAAAAAGGTTAAGATTTTTGTATGGATAATCTCTTGCCTGTATGAGCTCAGCTGATCATTTACACATTGACTGATAACTACAACATTTGTAAATGATTAACATTGTATATATGGAATGTAATTATTTGTTTTTCATTTTTCTTTTTTTTCAGACATATGCAATAGTGGGAGATGCTATAGACAAAATGGAGTTTGTATTTGATGAAATAATTCGAAATGACACCAATGGACCAACTCTTCAACCTTAACCCTTAAAAACGTTTTAAAAGACCTTCATCATCTTTACTGACTGTGATATTTCAAACATTTTAAATTTCAAGACGAAGTTATGTCGTCCTACATGAACAATGAAAAGTAAGACTTAACATAGATGTAATGCATAACCATATTAATACAAAGTGAAAAAACTGTGATATTATTTATTTTCAATGTATTAATTTAAAAAAATAATTGTAACACGAGCATGTAATTTATGACTGAACTTGAGTCCAGTTGTCTCAAAAGTGATTTTACCCAGGGAGTTATGAATGGAAACAGTTTATATATTCATGAATTATGAAATAAAATTTATTAAGAATCAAACTTATATATTTTATGTTGTTATTGAACATTGATTATGTTTTCATAAAAATGTGATGACAAAAAGACTTTTTTTGTGTGATTGAGCACCCATCATAGCCCATCTAGAGAGCAGTTGCAACTTCAATGATTCAACTGCTTAAGGTGTTGCCATTGAGATTTGAGGTCACAAGAGCCTTCATACAGTTATTTTACCAAGAAAACTAGATAATGCAGAATGGATATATTGTCCGTGGAAATAGAATACACCAGCACTGTTCAGACCAGAGCACTGTTCAGATTGTAAACACAAAGTGGAGAAACCAGTTTCTACATCTAGTATTTCCTTTATCCACAGCCCATGCAAATATACATTTATTCACACTATATTCATCATAATTTAAGGGGGAGCGGTGGCCTAGTGGTTAAGGTGTTTGCCTCTCAACACAGAGATCATGGGTTCTAGCCCTACTCTGGTCACGACCATGTTTCTTCATATGACACCAGTACTGGTTGGTTCCAGGAAGCGGACTCGAAAGTGATTAATATAAGTTGCAAGAACTTGTTTCGCAATCGAGCTTCAATAAATATGTTTAAACCAAACCATAATTTAAACAACATCTTTAATGATTACAAAAAGTTTTCCAACAAAAATGATTCTACCCTATTTCACCTTGTACAGATACATTTATAGTGTACTGGCCCAAGCCAAGTAAAAATCTCATTGCTCTATGACTCGCCAAATTGATGCATGAAAGCTATTGTTCCCTACTTAACATAACCTGGTCCTGCAAGGTCCTACTGTATGAACACTCATCTTTATTTATCACGTATCAGTTTACGAAGAAAAGACAATGTCAGTTTTTTGATAACGACATATTCCTTTGTAATATTTATATCCATTTAACATGGAATACTTTCACAATATCAGCCCGCCAGTCTTCTTTCTCTGATGAACAACTTACGTACAGTTTTTGTTCTTTGTCGCAGTATGTTACAGCTTTTGGAAAATAAATATTTGCTCTCTCTAGTCCAATAATATCGCATTTCTTTAAGCTGCTTGACAGTCTCAGAATAGTGTTACTGTGTCTGTAGCACACTAGTATAGTGTCATCTTCTAATTGTTGTTGGCCGTAAGGAAATTTATAACTTTGTTCTTCAAAAACGGTTTTAATATTTCCTTTCCAATCCATTTTCAAAACCTTACTATTTTGACTCCCATCTGTATCCGATACATATATGAACGTTTCATCCTTGCTGATCAAAACTCTGCGAGGCCCATAGAAGATAGCAGGAAAACCAAGAACATCGAGAATTTCTCCTTGAAGATTCAAAATGATTATTTTCTTTGATTTATTGCAAGATACAACCAATTTATCCTGGCCATAAGCAACACCATGACACTTTTCTCTGACATCTATACGTTGAACTAATGAAAGTTTCGCGTCACAATAAGACAATATATGAACAAACGTTTCATCCAACAAAGTTACAGCAAGCTTTTTATCTGGAAGAGTTATAACATCCAACGGATGTGAAGACATCTTTACCTCTGTTACAACCTCGTTTTTCTCAACGTCGATCAGTTTTACGTTTTTGTTTATGTTATCAGCAACAACCATTTTCGTAGGAGCAATCATAACCATACCAGTAATGTTACATTTTTCTTTTTCTGATGTCTGTTTCATGTCTATTGTTTCTATATGTTGTAAATCTATTGCTCTATCTTGACACGGCTGTACAAATGTTGACAATATTCCATAATTATTCACAGTCTTAAGAAAATCTATAAGGCTTGTGCTGCGGGTAAATTGAATACATTCGTTTGTTGTATTTGCATCCAATACATTCTTTTCCTTATTTATCAATATCGGCAGACTTTTTCCGACGTTTTTTATCTCGATAAAAAGCTTATTTTGCTTGTTTTGTTCTTTAAATGACCTTAACAATGAATGTGAACATTCAAGTTCTTCCGTTATCTCTAAACAAGCATTTAATACGGTTTCCTGTTTACATTTTGCTTGTTTTACAATTGTGTCAGCTTCCTTTAATATTCTGGTTTCCATTCTGTCCAAACATTCATTTATCTCTTTCCTGAAGACTTTGATATCTTCAACAACTTTTGCATGACTTTGGTCTAGATGTTGCGCAGCTTTGCAAGCATATTCTTTGTTTGATTTACATTTTTTAATCAACGATTCCATTTGTTCTAATATATCGGCCATCTCATCTGACAGGTTTCCAGAAACATCAGGAATATAGTCCACCTTACACTGTTTGTGTTCTAATGTAACGCACACATAACAAGCCACAGATGTGTGATCCCTACAATAAAATTCTAGTGGTTTGTCTTGGTGTTTCGTGCAATAGTCGGCCGTATCCTCAGATGTTGTTGCTGCATTTACCCTGGTCTTTGGCATGGATTCTTTGTCAATGAGTACATGGTTTTTAAATGGACGTGCACGTCTATGATGTTTGTAGCACGTTTCACATAGATGCTCCTGGCAGTCCTGACAGAAGCCATAAGCAGGTTCCTTCAAACCATCACTGTCACATGGAAGACATATTAATGTCGAGTCATCATCATTTAGATCTCCTAGACCTAATTTACCAGGAACCTCCATTCCTGTCTGAAAAAAATATGATATGTGAAGAATTATTTTTTCAAAATCATATCAATTTTGATGTTAAATACATGGAATTCGACCGATCCATTTACATTTAAAACACTAGTATCAATTTCTGACGGGCAATCAAATTACTGGCATATTTTCAGAAATACCCTTTTAAAAATATTTGACCTGATAAAGTAATATTATCAATTTATACTTTAATTCTAAAACTTTATATGTTAGTTTTTCTACTTGTATTTCAATTAAAGGCGTATGCTAGTGTTACATAAAGCAGAATGTAATCGCATATCGAATTCATTTTAATCTATCATGATCTTAAAGTAAGAGAAAATAATTGGGGGTCACCCAAAAGAAAGCCATGTCGACTTCCGTTCGTGCATAATTTGAAGATGAAATTAACACTAACTAATTAAAATTGTCTATACACGTATATGAAAAATCAGGTTTATTTGTAATAACTTTAAGACTCTTTGTATTAGTATACATATTAGATAAATAACTTTGTCATTTTTTACATAAAATTTATACAATATATTCTATTAATATCTGCTTGAAAGGCCTGGGCACTGTCTTCCGAGAGATATTTGCTATCATTTTTATTGAAATGAATTCTTATGAAACAAAAATTTGTAAAGGGTGCTATTTGTTTTCAACAAGTATTTACTTTCAGAAATAACAACAATTAGATAATATTTAATCAGTAGCATGCAATCAGTTTAAGACAAAACAAATTGGGTCGATACTGTAGAAATATGGTGCACAAATTGTCAACTCAATGTTTTAGGTGATCAAATCGTAAATCGATGGGTACTGACTTCAAATAACGATATCCCGGTTGTCTAGAGGTAAAGGTAAAAAATACAATAATGAAGAGTATATAGACTGTCACACATAATGTGAACGGTTATTTATATTTTAATTAAAGAGAGCATATCATGTAACTATCCTTCAAACAAAGATACCATGAGTGCTTTTTATTTCCTACACAAGAAAATAAAAATAAAGGTAGACATCTTGTTTACCCTCTGGTCGTTTGATAAATATTTAGTCACCTGATAAGATTATCAGTGTACGTAAGTAAAATATTCATCGTCACGTTACTTGTTTGATATTTATAAAGCATATTTACAAACATGTATCACAATTAACAAAATTTCGCATATTGTTAATTTTCTTTTATTTTTACCTCGATATGTTTATGATTTAGAAAAATAAAAAATAAAATTGAAACAAAACAAAAAGTTGTGGTAGATCTATGTGATATTGTTGTGAAAACTTGAAATATACTATTTTATTTTTAGGACGAAAAATACATTATGTACTAAAGTCCCTTTTGTTTGCATACGTACGATATATGATTTTATTCTTAGATGAATATTAGATTTAATATTCTAAATTTGCTCACCTTGTAATCTAAACACTGCTAAAAACCTTTGGACTTTGGAACGCGGAAGTTCAAAAGAACGTGAAAAGGGAATGTACTCTTACGTAAATATGGTTGGTAATAAGAGTGCATTCCCTTTTTACTTTCTCTTAACTTTATATTGTTGACATAATAATATGTTTCTAAAGGTGTTTCATATGTTAAAGCAAGCATACCTCCTAATTGATGCTAATTTTCATGAACATTTTGAAAATACATTTAAAATTAAAATATTATGAAGCGAACAAAGAAAGAAATTTGCACATTGCAAACGGCACTCACAATCCAGAGGTCAAAATATACATACATGCCTCTTACTGCGTTAGTAACGCAGTAGAAATGCAGTTATTGTTATCAATCGCACATAACATTTAAATAATTAATTAGATATTGAATATTTTTACTTTTCTTAAGATCTTCATATATATTTCTAAAGATTGAATTTCTTGAAATATTTTGGCTCATCTGGTAATACCTAATTTACTGATTACGAACGATTTTACTAGAACAATAATCTTATTCACAGATTTTGCCTTTTGTATATGATATAGTGCAATATAAGGGTGAATATAATGGTGAAGTTAAAGAATAAAGAATATGTTGTAGTTGTATCGTCTGCAATATAATCAAGGCAGACAAGCGCTGGTATACCAATATAACTTTAAACATGTATAGTTGCACTCCCTTGTTCAACAATGAATTCATTTTTTTACTTAATTGAATTTAATAGAGAAGAAATAATAAGGCAGCTTCATACAATCATGATTATTTTTATTGAACACACGTGATTTTATCTAGTTTGAGGCATCAGCGGGAGATAATTTATGAGTAAATTAATATAAAGGACAATATTTATCTTTTAAAGATTGTGTCTTAAAAGTTGTTAAAAGCTTTAGTTTGAAGATAATCTAGTCATAACAATAAAGTTATAGTCAGTTAGATATTATTATTCATGTAACGTTGATATAAATTGTGCATTCATAATGTCTTTTCTTAACAAAATACAATATTATTACCATTCAAGATGGTCGCTCTCTTTGTGATTGAGTCAACCAATTACTTCCAAAATTACAGCTAAAATGGTTTCATATCTTAATTTTTATCTAATAATTATACTTTTTACGAGCGTAGTACAGAACGATTCATTGTAGACAGTACGGAACCTATCAATGACCATTTCAGAACGTAAAGATATGCAAGATAAGTAAAGAACAGATTCATTTAAAATAATTAAACGACATAGAATATAATTATGTAGTTGTTGCCCAATTTTGCATTTTAGTGTCCATGTAAAATTGGTCTTAACCACCAATCAATGACTTTAAAAGAATTCCACTGCTTTGAATTTGGAACAGTCAGTTAAAGTTTAGGGGACTTCAAAATCAGAGTACAAAAATTAAACTACCAACAGGGTAGAGCCAGGTCAGACTAAACAGAAGCTTGCCTGGTCCTGTAAAGGCGGCAAAGGCTCATTACTTTCAGTTACAGAAGGTTAAGACATAAAACTACTCCAATAATAGCAATATCTAAAGTGATCAAACTTCAAAGAAAATTTGCCTGTGACCTACCGAATACCTTTATTGGTTTTGATTGTAATTGATTCAATTTCAATGGTACATGTTCCTTTAAACGATAAAACGTTGTGTGTACTATAATGAGAGACAAGTTGCTTTACTCGATGTACATTTCAAAAGTCATTTGTGCTCAAATGAGTAAACTCAAATTCTCTTTTGCCTCATCCGCTATAGCCAAAACCTTCTCTTTTCACTTTTTTCTCGTTTTCTCATTTTGCATGGAAAGCATACGGTTTCACGGTAAACGGGACAAAATGGTACATATTTCCGAATTTGTTTCCACCAAATAAACCTAAATCTAAAACTTCTGAAAGCTTTTCTGCAACGGAACTAACCTGTGCAGAAACATGACACAAGTTCATGGCCAATATTAAAAAAGTATAAAGATTGAATGTCTTTTCAAACATTTCTATTAATTCCATCCTTTCATCAGTTTCAAAAAATGAAGATATGGGATCAAAACCTTAAGAATAAAACTCTCTTTTATTAGACATGCGGCTATTTAAGAAGCGTTACGACATAATGTCGATGTTGAGGTTGTCCACATATTTGAAACTTATTAAGATAAACATGTAAAAGAAAACAGAATCTACGAAAAAGAGTGTATTGGTCTTTGAAATAAGCACTTTTCTGAACGTTGATTCTAACCACGAAGTTGGGAAATATAAAATCTTTTAGAAGTTATGAAAACTGTAAGGAAATTGTGACAGTCGCGATAAAGGTTCTTTTTAGTCTGTGAATAAGATACTCGCAATTCAATAAAACTAATGAGAATAATAAAGCATGTGGATAATGTCAACAAATATTGATAAATAGTCGATACAATGTCATTAATTCGTGTGAATCGACTTATTTAATTACCGGTATCTCGGATGATAGAGCTTTTTTCAATTACGACATATCCCTATGTATCATTCTAGTTTAGTTCACACTGATATTTAGAAAATATTAGCCTATCATATTTCTTTTTCTATTGAGCAAATAGCGTAAAATTATGTTTCTCTATCACATTATGCTTAAAGGTTATAAATATTTGCTCTCGTTGGTCCAAAAATGTCATATGTTTTAAGCTGCTTAACAGTTTCAGGATATCGTCACTTCCTTTGTTACAGACAATAATCCGTTTGTCTGCTGTTAACAGTAATAAACCTTATATACTGGTAATGGATTTATTGTTTTGCCCAATCAGTTTTCTTAAATGTAACTGCTCACTTTTTAGAGCAACTGTAAACAAATATGTGTCAAATGGCCAGTATTAGTTTGAATTGCAATTTTGATATATTGTTTTCTCAAGAGCAAACTTTAGAAATTATTCGGATCTTTAGAGTCAAGTCATATGAAAGACAAATTACAGTATTTTATATGCTAGCCATTCACATATTTGTAAACATTGTACACAACATTGTACATATAAAACACCATATATTTAAGAAGTGACATACAAAAACAAATGTGTTTGTGTTGTTCTATAGAAAAAAAACTTTACGCTTCCTCTGATCACAGTTTGTAAGAAATGAAACGATCTGTTTACTATTTTTTCCCTAAGTTCATTTGGATCAAATGCTATTTTGTGAAAGTATAGTGAATAAATTCCGAAACTTTTACCGTTATGTGAAGATTAACTTTGCTCATTTACACAATTATATAATATTATCACCTTACATTAGAATGTTAGGAATAAAGATACGTTTTTTGTTGTTTTATGGTTTTTTTTTGTTGTTAAGTTTTTGTTAAGAACAACCTCATTTGTGTCTAGGATTGTTTATGTTTACATACAAATGTGATGACAAAAAGACTTTTTTGTGCAGCATTGTACCTAAACCAACAGAGGTAAACATAATAATTGAAATGTTTTTGTTTTTGATAGAAAGCTGAGATTTAACATTTAATAACTGCTGAAATATTTAAATTTTGTTTTACAGCATTTGTGTCTTTTGAAGATGAAAAACATTATAACAGTCAATTCAAGTAAGCTTAATGTTGTCCAGCGTGCCCTTATTTATAGTGTGACAGACCGCGTAAACATGTGTTTAATGCCACATCTGATGAAAACGAACCTTGCAATAACCCCCATCATAGCCCATCTAGAGAGCAGTTGGAACTTCAATAATTCAACTGCTCAAGGTGTCGCCATTGAGATTCGAGGTCACAAGAGTCTTCATACAGTTATTTTAACAAGAAAACTAGAGAAAGCAGACGTCTTTAAGGGATATAATTATTGTCTGTGGAAATAGAATACATAAGCACTGTTCAGACCAGAGCACTGTACACAAAGTGGAGAAAATGTAAGAGAAAACTGCAAGTCAAAGGTGACTATCGTGATTATGGTTTCATTGAATATGTCAATGAGAGACACGATATTCGAGAGCATTTCACCACTAAACATGATTAAAAAGACATAAGCTTGGTCTTTAACATTTATTTATTTATCTTTCATTCAAATATCATCATTATACAATTAATCACATCAATACATAAAATTACATATACATATATATATACATCGCGCAAAGCCATTGTGGGGTAGAATTGTAAAAGACTATTTATATAATTAGGTATTATGTCCAGACTTTCACATTCCTACACATAATCCTCACAATAAAGGTTAGGCATTTTCCTTGCTAATTTTAGACAGCAACTTTATTATATTTCCAGTGTAATCTTATAAGTTAGTTAAAATAGAAATGAATGAAAGATAAAATTGGATTTGATTTGGAAAATAATCACTAGATGCATTAGGGTAATAAGCCCCATAAAATATGTATCATCGCTTAGGACTAGTAACAAACAGATTAACAAGGAATTTCTAACATAGTAAATCCTTAACGACTGATAATTCAGACTATATACAAAATTAAAACATATAGTAATAGCTAAAAACTTACACTGTACAATGTAGAGTTCAACATATATACAAAATTCAAAACATTAAGTAGACAAATTGTATAGAGCATTGTTTCTAGTTTTCAACATATTACAACAGGTGTTTTTCTAACCATATCAAAATTTTTATTATTTTTTTCTGAAACATTTAACACATTAAAATTACAGTTGACATTACAGGTTAATGAAACATTATTTGTTTCTCCCTAACATAATAAGACATTTAAGCATAACATGGAGCAGCTCTGATTCAACACAATTATCACACAACTGACATGCTTTTATGTTTCTGGAAGATTTTTTTATATCTCCCAATCTATGGCCTAATTGGCGCCACACTGCAACTAAACTTAGAGAAGGGAGATATATCATGACGAAAATGGAAAAAATAATTTTGCAATAGTGTTCAATAGCATAAGAATGTTTGAAAGTTCTATATACCCCAAGCTTATTAAGGTGACATCCATTCACATCAGTGGGCTGCATGACATTCAAATAAAACATCAGTAAATTGTTCTAATTCCTTGCGTTAAAACGGTTATTGAGAGTTCATGTTTAGTCTTAGCGAATTTAACTATTCTCTGCAATAAAATATCAATTTGTACATCAAGTATTTCCATTATCCACGGCCCATGCAAATATACATTTATTTACTCTATAATCATCATAATTTAAGGGGGAGCGGTGGCCTAGTGGTTAAGGTGTCTGTCTTTCAACCCATGGATCATTGGTTCGAGCCCTAATCGAGTCACAACCAAGTTTCTTCTTATGACACCAGTACTGGTTGGTTCCAGGAAGCGGACTCGAAAGTGATTAATATAAGTTGCAAGAACTTGTTTTGCAATCGAGCTTAGATAAAAATGTTTAAACCAAACAATAATTTAAAACATCAACTTTAATGATAACAAAAAGTTTTCCAACAAAAATGATTCTACCTTATTTCACCTTGTACATATACATTTAGAGTGTACTGGCCGAGCAAAGTAAAAATCTCATTGCTCTATGACTCGCCAAATTGATGCATGAAAGCTATTGTTCCCTACTTAACATAACCTGGTCCTGCAAGGTCCTACTTTATGAACACCTCATCTTTATTTATCACGTATCAGTTTACGAAGAAAAGACAATGTCAGTTTTTTTTAAGATAGGACGACATATTCCTTTGTAATATTTATATATCCTCATTTAACATGGAATACTTTCACAATATCAGCCCTCTCCTCTCCAGATCTTCTTGTGTTACTCTGGTGGTTCTGAGTTTCTGAACAGACCGCATATGCAGTACTATTCTTTTCGTCTCTGTCACAAGTCATAGTGTTACAGCCTTTTTTCTCCTCCTATTGAATCCATTGTCCGAAAATGAGACTGTTAGCTCCTCATCTCAGTCTTGTTTGTCCAATCAAACTTACCACATCCATTTCTTTAAGTCTAGGCTTGACATGTCTCACTTATTTCTGTATCCACTGGTCTCTGTAACAATAAATCAGTGCAAATTATTATAGTCTCTATCTTCCATATAGATTTGCTGTAAAATTTAAAAACTCCTCTATATGTCGATAAAATTTTCAAGTGATACAATTAAGATTAACTTACAAAAACGGTTTTAACAATTTCCTTTCCAATCAATTTTCAAAAACTTGCTATTTTGTCTCCAATCTCTATCCGATACATATATGAACGTTTCATCCTTGCTGATAAAAACTCTCATAGGCCCATAGAATATAGCAGGAGAACCAAGAACATTGAGAATATCTCCTTCAAGATTGATAATGATTATTTTCTTTGATATTTGGCAAGTGACAACCAATTTATCCTGGCTATAAGCAACACCATTACACTTTTCTCGTACATCTATACGTTGATCTAATGAAAGTTTCGCGTCAGAATAAGACAATATCTGAACAAACGTTTCACCTTTTAAAGTTACAGCAAGCTTTTTTTCTGGAAAAGTTATAACATCAAGTGGCATTGAAGACATCTTTACCTCTGTTACAACCTCTTTTTTCTCAACGTCAATTAGTTTTATATTTTTTTCGTTACTGTTATCAGAAACAACCATTTTCGTAGGAGCAATCATTACCAGACCAGTAATGTTACTTTTTTCTTTCTCTGAATTCAGTTTCATGTCTATTGTTTCTATATATTGTAATTCTATTGCTCTATCTTGGCACGGCTGTACAAATGTTGACAATGTTCCATAACTTTTCTCAGTCTTCAGAAAATCTATAATGCTTGCGTTACAGGTAAATTGAATACAATCGTTTGCTGTATTTGCATGCAATACGTTCTTTTCCTTATCTGTCAGTATTGGAAGACATTTTTCAGCGTTTTTCATTTCAATAAAAAACTTATTTTGCTTGTTCTGTTCTTTTAATGAACTTAACAACGAACGTGAACATTCAAGCTCTTCATTTATCTCTAAGCAAGCAGCTTTTACGGTTTCCTGTTTACATTTTGCAATTTTTACAATTGTGTCAGCTTCTTTTAATATGCTTGTTCCGATTCTGTCCAAACATTCATTTATTTCTTTCCTGAAGACTTTGATATCTTCAACAACTTTAGCATGACTAAGGTCTAGATTTTGCGCAGCTTTGCTAACATATTCTATGTTTGATTTACATTTTGTAATCAACGATTCCATTTGTTCCAATATAACAGTCATCTCGTCAGACAAGTTTCCAGAAACATCAGGAATATAGTCCACCCTACACTGCTTATGTTCTAGTGTAACGCACACATAACAAGCCACAGATGTGTGATCCCTACAATAGAATTCTAGTGGTTTGTCTTGGTGTTTCTTGCAAAAGTCGGCCGTATCCTCAGATGCTGTAGGTGCATTTACCTGAGTCTTTGGCATGAATTCTTTGTCAATAAGGACATGATTTCTCATTGGGCGTGGCCGTCTGTGATGTTTAAAGCATGTTTCACATAGGTGCTCTTGGCAGTCCTGGCAGAAGCCATAAGCTGGTTCCTTCAAACCATCATTATCACACGGGAGACATACTAATGTTAAGTTTTCGGCACTTAGAGCTCCTAGATCTAATTTCCCTGGGACCTCCATCCCAGCCTAAAAATATAAAATATAAGTTCTTCATTTATATTGATATTTATTTCTAAATCATTTAAATTGTTGTCTTATATACATGGGATGAGATAAACCTATTACTTTGCGTTTAACACTTTATCAGTTTATTCAGTTCCTGCTTAACAACCGTACATATCAATTGAAGAATTCATTGTTTTCTGTTTTACTGTATAAATATTCATAAACTTTAGATTTTAAATTTATATTGTAACTTTTAATATTCATCATCACACCAATAGTATGTTTGGTTCACGGACACACTCCATGGTAAAGTTATGGAAAGGCGCGATAAAATGTATCTATGATCTTAACAAATAGTCAATCAAATATTATTTTAATTATGACAATTGACATACCGGTAGGTTTATTGAATTTATCTTAATCTCAAGTTGAGTTAAGGATAACTGATATTAGATTATAAAGTCATAGATGAGTTGTCTCATCGACGGTGTTCATTAGCTCAAAATATTTGATTATATTTGGTCTTTCATAATGGAATAATTTTAGATATTTATTCTGGGGTCCTCATAATATTTACATTGAGTAAGGGTATGGAACTCATCTACTATATCCGAGAGGCATTTAAGCATTTTCTTTCACTGCATGTATTCAATGCGTCTGGTTTTCGATCGCACGGTTTCAACTGGTAATTTATAGTTTGATGTCCTAAATTTATGAATCTTATTTCCTTTATATCGTGGTAATTTCTTTAAGTAGTTTTTAAATTTAAATTCCTTTTTAAAAACAGCATATTTTTTTACCTTTATTTGATATTGTCAAATCTGATGACCACTTTTAGAGAAATTGATTAGCTAAAGTTTGCTTGATCGTTTTCACTGTGTTATTGCTCGACAAAGATTTTTGTTGTAGCCGCAGGTAAGAGTAGCCAGTATTGTTATTATTTTGTTTCATCCATTTAAATAATTAAAATAATTTAAAAGTATTTGAATAAAGCATCACGTAACAGGGTTATGCTAATTTTGTATTTTTATGGGTTACAAGTTTGCTCGATATATAGTATAAAGAATGGGGTACTTTTTCTAGTTTTGGTGATTGTTCTTAAGAAGTATGTATTTCCAATGAGAAAAGAGTATTGACGATTTTTTGTGTGCCAAATTTCATATCATTTTTTCTGTATTATTTTTAGCTTTCAGTACTTACAATGGTTATTGAATTCGTTGAGAATTTTTAAAAGTATCGTCTGCGTACAATAATTAGAACTTTCAATAGATATATAGATAAAAGAACGTGTGTTTCATTACTGTTAGCTTTTACCTCAATTACTTCATTACCGCGTGACATTCAAAAATGTTAAAGGTCATTAAGATAAAAACTAATTATCAGGGAAGATAAATGATCAAATGATCCCCTTGGCGAAGCCTTTTTCGCTTGTAAAAATGCTGAATTATTTATTGATATAAACGATTTAATATGATTATACATGATTACCTTTATTTTTAAAAACCGGTTTAATTGTACCTACAAGCTAGCTGTCAGGCAAATTTCCTGCATCTAAAACTTTATTAAAAAACAATTCATAGATAGGTATCATTAAACATTTTGAGCTTTTTAGATATTCATTAAATATTATGTCTTCTGATGGGGGTTTGCCAGTGTTTGATTTTAGATCTTTTTCTTTTTCAATTTCTTCCTTTGTTATTAGCATATTTAGAATTTCATCAACGTCATTTAATACGAAATTTGGCGGCAATTCGTTAGCCTCATTTTCGGCAGACAAATTAATATTTTTGAAGTTATCATAAATATCATATAGAGGGGAGGGGGTATTTTTCATGGTGAAGCTACGTATTCAACTCGTATTCATTACATTTTTTTGTAATTTTTGCTAGATGCCTTTAGGTTTAATCTATAAATGTCTGATCTCCATTTATTATTCCGTTTTCGAGCTAAATTGTATTTTATGCAAGCGTTCCTACATATAGGGCCGAATCACAATTCGTTTCGTGTTTTTTTCCCTCTTTTTTGTTTCAGACACAGGTTATTATAATTGAGATGTGACTTTGAGTGAAAATTTTTAACCCCAAAAAAAACGGAAATACAGCATTGATGTTTTCAGATACCATATTTTTAAAAAAAAATTTGGTGTTGTCGGCTGTACAGTTTTCTAAAAATATTTATTTCATTCATATCAGAATTGTCTAAATTCGATATAAATTCATGACTTTTGTTACTTTACCATTTTATAAGTGATGCTTGGCGGAACGCTTTCTTTGTTTTTAAATTCATTTATTCGCACATTTTTCATAATATTTAAGTTTATTGATAATACCCTAGGAATACACAGACTGTCTACTTCGATGATTTCAAAATCGAGATTTTTTGTAATAAACACTTGAAATACAATAGTCAGTTACCGAAACGTTGCGAAAAGTACATTTGCCAATGTTGGCATCTTTTCCTTTTCTGCCATTACATATGAACAAATTACAAATGTTTATTAATTTTAGTCCTGTTTGATTTTTCTTTTTATCGTGCGAGAACCTCTTTTTTTGCTAAAAACGTGTCATTTTCTAGGTCATCGGGTAACGTTCCTGTATGTGCATTTGCATCGCCAGTCAAGAAAACATAATTATGTAAGCTACAATTTTGAACAATTTCTTGCTCCATAAGTGATAATAAAGCAGTATTGTAAAACAATGATTGTTCAGGCAAAACATACATAATAGTGAAAAGAAGGTCTTCATCTAAACATAAAATATCTTTGATTATTTTTATCCACAAAATGTACTCACAATCACTTTCTACAGTAACGACAAACATTATTGTGTACAAATACACCTATTCCGCGAAGATTGTTCTCTTGGTTAAGAAATAAACTCATAGTTTCGTAAAGATATAACATCAGTGTCGTTCAGCTTTGTTTCAGTAAAACAAAAGATATCAAAATTATTTATCATATTCACTACTTTTGGGTATTTAATGCGAGGTTTCAGTCCAAACTCATTCAGTGATCCAAGTGTAAGTTCCGGATAGCGGGCTAAGTTGTTTCCCCTTCTACTAGTATTTGTCTGAATGTATCGAATTAGAAGGACCAGTGATTAATTGTATCATAAATATTTTTTGTGTTAGAATTATTTGATTTTGTATTGACATGTATCATAAATAAGTTGAAGTATATTTGGGTAGTATAGAAGGTCCTAGGAGGTAAGCCCCTGGTGAAAGGTCTTAGCCTGTGACTGTATATTAAAGAACGTGGCCCGTAGTAAAACAAACGGCCGATGTGCAGAGTATCATTTTTATTGAATTCTTATCAAATAAAAAAGATAGAGAAATTTGTGGAGGGTGCTATTAGTTTCAAATAAGAATTCACTTTTCGACAGTATTTAACCATGTACATGTAATACCATCATTTTAAGAAAACACTTTGGTTGTATTTACTGTGAGATAGAATGTGTTGAATCATTAGCTTACTCAATATTTAGACAAAATTCAAATGTATTGCATCATAATTCATTAGATAACTCAATATTTAGACAATATTCAGTCGTAACCCGTTTCATACTGACATCAAATATCAAAAAGATTTAAACTCTATACCAGTTGTCTGGAGGTAAAGGGAAAATACTGGTAAAGAGTCCTTAAAATTTAATTTTGTACGGTTATTTTATATTTTGATTAAAGAGAGAATATCATTTAAGTATCCTTCAAACAGAGATCCATTGACTGTTTGTTTATTTCATAAACAAGAAAATGAAACAAGTTAAAAATCTAATATTTTGTTTACCGATTGGTCTTTCGGCAAATGTTTTTGTTAACTGATTAGATTATCATTGTCAAACGCCTCACAGTGATTTTTACCTGCTACGCTAATACGCTATATAGCGAAGCAAAGGGAGACCAATGCGTATGAATTTATATCATAATACTTAAGTAAAATATTTAGTGTCACGTGACTTGTTTAATATTTTATTTGGCAAACATACAAACATTTAACACAATTAGTAAAATTTCGCATATTGTTAATTGTTTGCTTTGATTTTCATCTTATGCTTTATGATTTAGGAAGATAAAAATGAAAATATAAAAAAGAAACAAACAAAAAGTTTAGGTATTTGACTTGTTTTGAAAAATTTAAAATATACCTTTTTATCATTATGACGACAATAACATTATCTACTAAAATAAATCGTGTTGGCATACTTGTAAAATTTGATTTGATATAATATTAATTTAAATCAATTTAAATTTCTTACCTTGTAATAAATAGGTGAATATTTTACTTTGGAACGCGGAAGTTTAAATAAACTTGACAGGGGAAGCACTCTTATTGAACGTTGCATTGTCTATCTTATTTTAAAGTGGCACGCCTCCAGATTCATGCTAATTTTCACGAAAACAAAAATGAATTAAGAAGTAAAATATTGTTAAGTGAACAAAGAAAATAAGTTACACATTGCAAACGGCAAATATAACCCATGTATGTTACAAAAAGGGTAAAATGTGCAAAAATAGCCTTTACTGTGTTTAATAGTAACGTAGTAGAAATATGGTGAAAAATACTGCAAAACAGTAAATTAACTCACATAACATAGAAATTAATACTTTTATCTTTAATCTTTTTGTTTTTCTTAAAATTTCAGTTTCAGTTTAAGTTTGATTTTTTAAAAATATTTTGGCTTATCTGAAGGCATGCAGCATTAAAATAAAAAGGCCTTTTATAAATACAAAATCTTGTTTATGTTGTGTTATATGATATTCTCTCAATAGTCATGTAGGTTTAACTCAGTGTAGACTTGTCTCTCTGAGAATGCTTTAACATGTAAACATATGTTTTACTGGTTAGAATAAAAATTATGTATATTCAATCAATGGTTTTCTAGTAATAACTGACCTTCGGTCATTAAGACAGTAGAAAAGTTTTAAAGATGTTTAATATTTTATAAAAAACATAATATAATGTGTTCGAGTGATGCATAAAATCTTTAATTGAAGAATTTTCTCTTTCACAGATTTCGCGTTGCTAAATGACTTAGCACACTTAAAGGGAATAAATTGTGATGTACGTTACTGTAAAGTATCATAAAATATATTGTAGATTTATCGCTTTGATTTAAATTTCTTCAATGTAATCAACAAAGTTTTAGAATGCAAACGAGCGCTAAAGACAAAGCATTTATGGTAGACTATGAATTTAAATTTAGCATTTTAGCTAAACCACTTTAGCATTTAGTTCAATAGATTGAGGTTTTAGGTATTATGGCCTTTACCTGCTAAATTTCTGTAGATTTCCTTCGCTTTGAATTTGGAACAGTCCTTTTAAAGTTTTATGGGCTTCAAAAACAAAGTAAAAAAATGAGCTATCGACAGTGTTGAGCCTGGTCAGAAAAGACATAGGCTGGCCTGGCACTATAATCGGGGCAAAGGCTAATTAGTTTCGGTTACAGAACTACTTCCGCAAGATTTCTTGATAACAGCAAAATCTCTAGTAATACAACTTCATAGAAAATTTGTTTGAAGACTTTTATTGTTGCTACAACGTCATATCGTGTGAATGGTCTTATTTTATGTGTATAGTTTCACTATATTAATCTTAGATGACAAAAAAGTTTAATGGCCAAACATGCCTGTCTATCATTTAAGTTCATTTCACATTGATATTTAAAATGTCAGTTTTCAATATTTCCTTTTCTATTCAACAACTAGCGTACAGTTCATGTTCTCTATCGCAGTATGCTTAAGGATAAAACGTATTTGCTGTCTCTGGTCCTAAATGATACGTCTTTTAAGCTGCTCAACAGTGTCGGGAGATAGTCACTTTCTTTGTTACACACCAGAATCCTTTTATCTACTGTAGATAGTAATAAACTTCAAAAAAATGGATTTAACATTTGTATCCAAATAAGTTTTCATAACTTTTCTTTGTTGAATCATATGTGCATCTGACCAGTTTAAAGAGCAACTGTAAACAAATACGTGTTAAACGATTAGTCTTGGTTTGAATAGCAATTTTGATATATAGTTTCGCAAGAGCAACTTTAGAAATTGTTGGGATCTTTAAAGTCATGTGAAATGTATGGTAAATGACAGTATAGCTATTACATATATTCACATATTTGTAAACATTGTACACAGCATTGTACATATTAAATATATAAATATATAATACGAGCATGCATTTAGGAATGTTACATAATAAACAAATGTGTTGTTTTTGTTCTATAGAAAAAACAACTTTACGTTTCCTCTGATCATAGTTTTTTTAAAAGATCTGTTACTAAAATGTTTCCCCTAAAGTTTATTTGGAACAAACTGGATAAGTTCCGAAACTTTAATAATTCTGCTGAAAGAAAGCAAAAAAAATTGAACTATACTTATATGAAGATAACTTGCTCATTTACACAATTATATAAAATTATCATCTTACTTTAGAATGTTGGCAATAAAGATACGTTTCTTGTTGTTTTATGTTTATTTGTTTTTTTTTTGTTGTTAAAGTTTTGTAAAGAACAAACTCATTTGTGTCTAGCATGAAAACGTTTATTGTACAAGATTTTAAAATGTTTCCTCCTGCTTTGTCTGGAAACAGAACATTTGCATGATGCCTGTTGCATTCATTATGTTGCACGCTGCTTGAAATAATTGTGATTATTCAGTGTTGGAAACATTTTACCTAAATCTCTGATATCTGTGTAGATACAGCAGTGCTTTCTCTCTTTTCGTCATAATACATAAATGTCTCACTACTAGTTGAGAGATTTATTTAAAATAATACAAAGTTATATATCTAGAAATTTTTTCATATGCAAATAATATATTTTTTTCAGGCAACGAACTTTTAACAGATTTGACTTTTTGACTTTTTAAAAAGTAAAGAAACAAAAACACTGAACATGTACTGTTGTGTATTTGAATGTCATTTTTATCATTAGAACATAACTTTATATCAAATTTAAAAAGCATGAATTTCAACTATATTTTAAGAATTTTTCATTGATTTAGCTTTGATTATTTTTTAATATTTTGGTACATTATTGTTTCTGTTAGAATCAAAACAGGAATCTCGTTAGAGCAGACGGGCATCTAGAACCCCTTCAAAACCCCCTAGTAACCCTAAATTACTATCAGAAGATAGTACATTGAGTAAGTCAATGTGTAGGTCAGACACATTTGCACACAAACACACATAGTGTGCAGAAACGTTGCTAGTTTGAAGTGACTTGGTTGGTGTATGGGTTACACAAAATGTATTGTTATTTAAATGCCTTTTACCCTTGTGAAGTTGTGGTCATGTCTGTTATTATTGATGGATTGAGGCGTATGTCCAACACTAGCTATGTATATTACTCTTCATACTATGCCAGGAATAGGAAATTATAAATATATCTCATTTCTGTAACTATGTAATGACAAACGTATCGTTGTGTCTATACACTTGCATTTTTCTTTGTAATAGCAGCATTTACACAGCATATTATTCTAGTTTGCAAATGATACTCATTATTTATACAGGATTAAAGCATTATTTATAATAATTCATTATTTATCATAATTTATCCATCATTTCTTCATATCCTTACAACAATTTTTAGCTCAACTATTTGATAAGAATAAGTAGAGCTATTGTAGTTACCCGAGCATCGGCGTCGGTGTCGGCGTAACCACTTGTGTTAAAGTTTTTCTAATACCTCAAATATTTTTAAAGTGTATTGACATATGGCTTTGAAACTTTGCACACTTGTTCACCATCATGATCCCAACCTGTAGACAGAATTTTGCCCCTTTTTCAACTAGGTTTTCATTTAGGTTTGCATACCACCTCAGATATTTTCATATTCTATTGAAACAAGTTGAAATTTTATACTCTTCTAAGAGAGCATAATATAATACTCTCTCTATGGCATATAACCCTAACATGGATTTAAAGAATAATTTGTCCTTTTGTTATAAACTCAGAAAATTTTACATTATCAAGGCTTTTTTTACTATCAAGCACTAAGAATAGTCCTAACGACAGCTCTTGTTTGTTTGATTATAGTCATTTAATAGGTCATTAACTCAAAGTGAAACAAGGGAATAAAATCTGTCTGTACTCATATGAGTAATTACATTTCAAATATCATCTTACTTTACTTACTTTTTACCACAGAGCCATCATAACCCAGAACCTTATTAAAATAGCAAGGTCACTAACTCTTGATAAATGCTTAAGTAAAAACATCATGTTTGATCAAAGTTTTTTCTTTGCTATTTCCAAATTATTTTAAAAACAAAGCAGTACATATCATTCTACATTTATTTGTGTTTTATTGCATTACAAACATTTAGGTCGTTAACTAGAAGTAGTCTCCCTTTTGCATTGTTACTTAGTCTCAGTTGCTTCCCCTGAAAGCTTTGAATGTTTTGTGTTGTTGGTTTTTACAGTTAGGCAAGGATTGTCAGATAAAGTACCTGGAAGTAGTAAGTTTTACTGCAACCTATCCAATATACCTTGTTCGCCCTGTGTTTGTTGGTTTAATGTTGAAGTTTTCATTACACATGTATACATGTACCGTATATTTATTTCGAAGAACATTTGTCTTCAAATAACCATTTCAAAATCAAGTATTGGCTGTTATTTGCAAGAAGGTTGACTTTTGACTGCAGCATCTATAGTAACTTAGTGCAAGTCTCATTTTTATATCTAAGGCTTTTAAAAAAAATTTACTAAATAAATCTGCCGAACATCTAGTTTTCATTTTTTTCTATATATTGCTTTAACTGCACTTTATTGATACAAAACCAAAGATTTTAAAAACGAAAATTATTTTCAAAATGTAAGACAAACAATTTATAGGCATGTGAAGTTGTCTTTTCTAACTTTATGTTATTTTGTTCATGTGTTTTGTTTATAGTGATATTAACATGTTTGTATATTAGAAAACACCTGTTCCAGATCATTCAATTATTCATATTTTACTCCATTATTTTGATCCTGTATAATAATAACTAGAGCAGTATTTATATCCCATGATATTGTTCTCATATTTTAAGTATTTCACTTATTCCTTCTCATTTATCATCATTTGTTAATAAATATTGAAACATTTTTTCCCATTATGTATCATAGTCACTAAATATAATGTAAAACGTCATATAATTTGGATAAAATCTATTCTTTCATATTTAGTTAATGTGTAACATTTTCATGTTGTGTTTTTCTTGCATTAAATGAAGAGACAAAAATAGAGAGAATGGACAGTCTCTGTAAGTAAGACAAAATATCAGATCTTAGGTGACCAGTCTAAAACTTCAGCATCTGATTGGTAATTACTCTAGAAAATATTTAAAAATTGGCCAATGAAAGTGGTAGTTTTCATAGACTGATCACCATTATCTGTTATTTGACTAAATTATGAATTTTGCAGAAGAATATGATTTAAGGAACTGTTTTGATGTGTTTAAGAAATAATAAAATCATGATACATGTATGTTTAAGAAATATAATTTGTTTATTTTGTAGGTGATGGTAAAGGACGTAAGAGTGGAACAGGTGATAAAGGAGCCGCTAAAGCGCCTGATAAGAAAGCCCCTACACCAGCTAAAGATAAAGACAAAGGGGGAAAAGTTTCAAAAGAGGTATTAACATTAAGCATACTGCATTTCCTACAGAAATGACTTGTCCTTCTTTTCATTGTTTGAACTGTCATTTGTCAATTTTTGGGGATATTCAGGAAAATTTCACAGTTGATCAGCCAGTAGTATAGAGCCTAGAGTGACTGCTTGACTTTATACTGGTGGCAAAAACTTGTTCCTTTCAGTTTTAGCAGTATAAGGATTACAACTTTACTATCCAAGATTCTAAAGATTATTCTTTTACTTGTATTTACACAAATGAATGAATTAAAAACTAAAGTTTGATATCATTTTGAAAAAAAGCCCCCGTCCACTGCTGTTATCATATTATTACAGAAAATAAAGGCCGAAGTACATGTTGACAGATTTTGATGTCATCTATTAATCAAAGTATATTTCTCATAAAGTATCTGTTTTTTCAAAAATTTCTTACTAAGTAAAAAGATCAACATTTTTTTTGTTTACATTCTTTTCAGTCTACAAAAGTAGATATGAAATCAGGTAAACAAAGTGCGACTCCTGCCTCTAGAGGCCCACCTAGCCGTGGTAAAACTGCGGGTAGTTTAGGGGACAGGGAAAGAACGGGCTCACCAACCAGTATGATGCAAACTTCACTGGCACATGAAGATCCCATCATTGACAGAAAATATAAGGAGAAAATCTTTGCACAGGTAATTTGAAGATTGTTTGTTTTGGTTTCATGTCACATAGTTATTGTAAAGTTCATATGGCAAATTTCCAGCATTATTAGTGGATAGACACCTCAGGTGCCCAATTGTACAAGGCAGGTGTAATTGCCTTAGTAAAACCACCTACCATCTGTACGCTTGGTAATTTTCAGTACTTAAGCTGTTCACGATATAGGAATAACATTTACTTGCCTTTGATTATGCAACCAGACAGTTTTTGTTAACATTAAAATGTTGACATTTAGCTTAAAACTTGCAACTTTGTTTTGTTCTGCCTTTTTAATAAGTCAAAGGTAGATTATAATATACAATGTATATTGGAAGAGGATTTGTATCAAAACAAGTATTGTTTACCTGCATTTAACCATCAACATTTATACAGTCTAATTGTGTCAAACAAAAATATTAAGATTTTTGTATGGATAATCTAGCTCTTGCCTGTATGAGCTCAGCTGATTATTTACACATTGACTGATAATTACAAGATTTGTAAATGATAAAACATTGTATATGAAATGTAATAATTTTTTTTTATCTTTTTTAGACATATGCAATAGTGGGAGATGCTATAGACAAAATGGAGTTTGTGTTTGATGAAATAATTCGAAATGATACCAATAGACCACCTCTTCAACCTTAACCCTTAAAGCGGTTTTAAAAGACCTTCATCATCTTTACTCAATACTGTGAAACTTCAAACATTTTAAATTTCAAGACGAAGTCATGTCGTCCTACATGAACAATGAAAAGTTATAGACTTAACATAGATGTAATGCATAACCATATTAATACAAAGTGAAAAACTGTGATATTATTTATTTTCAATGTACTTATTAAAAAAAATAATTGTAACACAAGCATGTAATTTATGACTGGACTCGAGTCCAGTTGTCTTGAATATGATATTATCCATGGAGTTATTATTGGAAACAATTGGCAATTATATATTATCATGATGATTTATGAAATAAAATTTATTAACAATCAAACTTTTATTTTTTATGTTGTTCTTGATTCAGCAAAATGTGATGACAAAAAGACTTTTTTGTGAAGCATTGTATCTTAACCAACAGAGGTAAACAAAATAATTAAAATGTTTTTGTTTGTGATAGAAAGCTGATTTTTAACATTTACTTAATGCTGGAATATTTAAATTTTGTTTTACAGCATTTGTGTCCTTTGAAGATGAAAAACATTATAACAGTCATTTCAAGTAAGCTTAATGTTGTCCAGCGTACCTTATTTATAGTGTGACAGACCGCGTTCACATGTATTTAATATCACATCTGATGGAAAGGAACCTTGCAATGACCACCCATCATAGCCCATCTAGAGAGCTGTTGGAACTTGAATGATTTAACTGCTTAAAGTGTTGCCTTGAGATTCGAGGTCACAAGAGCCTTCATACAGTTATTTTACCAAGAAAACTAAAGAATGCAGACGTCTCTTTTAAGGGATATATTGTCCGTGGGGAAAAGAATACATCAGCACTGTTCAAACCAGAGCACTGTTCAGATTATAGACACAAAGTGGAGAAAAATGTAAGAGAAAACTTCAAGTCAAATGTGACTATCATGATCATGGTTTGTATATGTCAATGAGAGACTCGATATTCGAGAGCATTTCACCACTAAACATGATAACAAAAAGACATAAGCTTGGTCATTAAACATTTAATTATTTATCTTTTATTCAAGTCTCTTCATAATACAATTCATCACATTAATACATAAAATTTATATACATGTATGCTCAAAGCCATTGTAGGGTAGATTGTTAGAGACTAATAATATAATTAAGTATTATGTCCCGACTTTCACATTCCTACACATAATCCTCACAATAAAGGTAAAAATGCCTTGCTAGTTTTAGAGAGCCACTTCATTATATTTACAGTATTTACTTATAAGTTAATTAAAATAAAAATGAATGAAAAGATAAAATTGGAATTGATTTGGAAAAAAAAAATAAAATCACTAGATGCAATAGGGTAATAAGCACCATAAAATATGTATCATTACTTAGGACTAGTAGCAAACAAATTGGCATTTCTGACATAGTAAAAACTTAACGGCTGATAAGAGTTCAGACTTTATACAAAATTAAAACATTTAGTAATAGCTAAAAACTTACACTGTATAATGTAAAGTTCAACATATATACAAAATTCAAAACATTAAGAAAACAAATTGTATAGAGCATTGTTTCTTGTTTTTTAACATACATGTATTACAACAGGTGTTTTTCTAACCATATCAAAATTTTTATTTTTTTCTAAAACATTTAACACATTAAAATTACAGTTGACATTACAGGTTAATGAAACGTTATTTGACTCTCCCTAACACACATTAAGCATTTTAGCACAACGTGGATCAGCTCTGATTCAACACAATTATCACACAACTGACATGCTTTTATGTTTCTGGAAGATGATTTTTTATATCTCCCAATGTCTGGCCTAATTTGTGCCTCACCGCAACTAAACTTAGAGAAGGGAGATATATGACGAAAATGGAAAAAAATAATTTTGCAATAGTGTTCAACAGCATAAAAATGTTTGAAAGTTCTATATATCCCAAGCTTATTAAGGCGACATCCATTCACATCAGTCAGCTGTATGGCATTCCAATAAAACATCAGTAAATTGTACTAATTCCTTGCGTAAAAACGGTTATTGAGAGTTCATGTTTAGTCTTAACGAATTTAACTATTCAATAAGATACCAATTTCTACATCTAGTATTTCCTTTATCCACAGCCTGTGCAAATATACATTTATTTACTCTATAATCATCATAATTTAAGGGGGAGCGGTGGCCTAGTGGTTAGAGTGTCTGCCTCTCAACCCAGAGATCATGGGTTCGAGCCCTACTCGGGTCACGACCATGTTTCTTCATATGACGCCAGTAATGGTTTGTTCCAGGAAGCGGATTCGAAAGTGATTAATATAAGTTGCAAGAGCTTGTTTCGCAATCGAGCGTAAATAAATATGTTTAAACCAAACCATAATTTAAACAACAACTTAAATGTTTACAAAAAGTTTTCCATCAAAAATGATTCTACCCTATTTCACCTTATACAGATTGTGTTGAATCAGAACTGTCCCGAGCCAAGTAATAATCTCATTGCTCTGTGACTCGCCAAATTGATGCATGAAAGCTATTGTTCCCTACTTAAGATAATCTGGTCCTGCAAGGTCTTACTGTATGAACACTCATCTTTTATCCATCACGTATCAGTTTACGAAGAAAAGACAATGTCAGTTATATAAAGAGACTTTTTTGATGACGACATATTCCTTTGTAATATTTATTTCCATTTAACATGGAACACTTTCACAATATCAGCCCGCCAGTCATCTTTCTCTGATGAACAACTTACGCACAGTTTTTGTTCTCTGTCGCAGTATGTTACAGCTTTTGGAAAATAAATATTTGCTTTCTCTAGCCCAATAATATCACATTTCTTTAAGCTGCTTGACAGTCTCAGAATAGTGTTACTTTCACTGTAACATACCAGTATAGTCTTATCTTCTAATTGTTGTTGACCGTACGGAAATTTGTGACTTTGGTCTTCAAAAACGCTTTTAACATTTCCTTTCCAATCCATTTTCAAAACCTTACTACTTTGACTCCAATCTGTATCCGATACATATATAAACGTTTCATCCTTGCCTATCAAAACTCTAATAGGCCCATAGAATATAGCAAGAGAACCAAGAACATTGAGAATTTCTCCTTTAAGATTCATTATGATTATTTTCTTTGAAGCCCGACTAGAGATAACCAATTTATTCTGGCCATAAGCAACACCAGCGCACTTTTCTCCTACATCTATACGTTGATCTAATGAAAGTTTCGCGTCAGAATAAGACAATATCTGAAGAAACATTTCATCGGCCAAAGTTACAGCAAGTTTTTTTTCTGGAAGAGTTATAACATCCAACGGACGTGAACACATCTTTACCTCTGTTACAACTACATTTTTCTCAACGTCGATCAGTTTTATATTTCTGTTACTGCTTTCAGAAACAACCATTTTCGTAGGAGCAATCATTATTATTCCAGTAATGTTACATTTTTCATTTTCTGATGTCTGTTTCATGTCTATTGTATCTATATATTGTAAATCTACTACACTATCTGGGCACGGCTGTACAAATGTTGACAATGTTCCATAATTATTATCAGTCTTAAGAAAATCTATAATGCTTGTGTTGCGGGTAAATTGAATATATTTGTTTGTTGTATTTGCACGCAATACGTTCTTTTCCTTATCTGTCAGTATTGGCAGACTTTTTCTGACGTTTTTAATCTCGATAAAAAGCTTAGTTTGCTTGTTCTGTTCTTTTAATGATCTTAACAATGAATGTGAACATTCAAGTTCTTCAGTTATCTCTAAAGAAGCAGCTTTTATGGTTTCCTGTTTACCCTTTGCTTCTTTTACAATTGTGTCAGCTTCCTTTAATATTCTGGTTTCCATTCTGTCCAAACATTCATTTATCTCTTTCCTAAAGACTTTGATATCTTCAACAACTTTGGCATGACTCTGGTCTAGTTCTTGTGAAGCTTTGCTTCAATACTTGCATTTGTTCTAATATATCTGTCATCTCGTTAGACAGGTTTCCAGAAACATCAGGAATATAGTCCACCTTACACTGTTTGTGTTCTAATGTAACGCACACATAACAAGCCACAGATGTGTGATCCCTACAATAAAATTCTAGTGGTTTGTCTTGGTGTTTCGTGCAATAGTCGGCTGTATCCTCAGATGTTGTTGCTGCATTTACCCTGGTCTTTGGCATGGGTTCTTTGTCAATGAGTACATGGTTTTTAAATGGACGTGCACGTCTATGATGTTTGTAGCACGTTTCACATAGATGCTCCTGGCAGTCCTGACAGAAGCCATAAGCAGGTTCCTTCAAACCATCAATATCACATGGAAGACATATTAATGTCGAGTCATCATCATTTAGATCTCCTAGACCTAATTTACCAGGAACCTCCATTCCTGTCTGAAAAAATATGATATGTGAAGAATTTTTTTTCAAAATCTTATCAATTATGATGTTAAATACATGGAATTCGACCGATCCATTTACATTTAAAACACTAGTATCAATTTCTGACGGGCAATCAAATTACTGGCATATTTTCAGAAATACCCTTTTAAAAATATTTGACCTGATAAGTAAAATATTATAAATTTATACTTTAATTCTAAAACTTTATATGTTAGTTTTTCTACTTGTATTTCAATTAAAGGCGTATGCTAGTGTTACATAAAGCAGAATGTATTTTTTATACAAGAAAATAAAAATAAAGGTAGAAATCTTGTTTACCCTCTGGTCGTTTGGTAAATATTTAGTCACCTGATAAGATTATCAGTGTACGTAAGTAAAATATTCATTGTCACGTTACTTGTTTGAATTTCCGATCAATTAACTAAAAACGCTTAGGCCTAGGAACTTCAAAATTTGTATGATGATTGGTCGTGACCAGCAGATGACCCCTATTGAGTTTTGGGTCAAGGGGTCAAAGGTCAAGGTCACATTGACCTTGTAAGTAAAAACGGTTTCTGATCAATAACTTAAGAACGCTTAGGCCTAGGAACTTCAAACTTGGTATGGTGATTGGTCATGACCAGCAGATTACCCCTATTGAGTTTTGGGATCAAGGGGTCAAAGGACAAGGTCACATTGACATTGTAAGTAAAAACGGTTTCTGATCAATAACTAAAGAACGCTTCGGCCTAGGAACTTCAAACTTGGCATGGTGATTGGTCATGACCAGCAGATGACCTATTGATTTTGGGGTCAAGGGGTCAAAGGTCAAGGTCACATTGAGCTTGTAGGTAAAAATGGTTTCCGATCAATTAACTAAAAACGCTTAGGCCTAGGAACTTCAAACTTTGTATGATGATTGGCCATGACCAGCAAATGACCCCTATTGAGTTTTGGGTCAAGGGGTCAAGGTTAAGGTCATGACCAGTAGATACTTGATAACCCTTATTAATTGTTTGATCACTGGGTCAGATGTCATGCATAATAACCTTATCACATGACTTATTGGCTGCTGATAGGGGGCATACATGTTTTACAAACATATCTTGTTTAATTACGACATATCCCTATGTATCATTCTAGTTAAGTTCACACTGATATTTAGAAAATATTAGCCTATTATATTTCTTTTTCCATTGAGCAAATAGCGAAAATTTATATTCTCTATCACAGTATGCTCAAAGGTTATAATATTTGCTCTCGTTGGTCCAAAAATGTCATATGTTTTAAGCTGCCTAACAGTCTTAGGATATCGCCACTTCCTTTGTTACAGACAAGAATCCGTTTGTCTGCTGTTGACAGTAATAAACCTTATATACTGGTAATGAATTTATTGTTTTGCCCAATCAGTTTTCTTAAATGTAACTGCTCACTTTTTAGAGCAACTGTAAACAAATATGTGTCAAATGCCCAGTATTAGTTTGAATTGCAATTTTGATATATTGTTTCTCAAGAGCAACTTTAGAAATTATTCGGATCTTTAGAGTCAAGTCAAATGAATGGACAAATTACAGTAGTTTATATGCTAGCCATTCACATATTTGTAAACATTGTACACAACATTGTACATATAAAAATGGAATATAAAACAACATGTATTTAAAAATGTTACATAATAAACAAATGTGTTGTGTTGTTTTATAGAAAAAAACTTTACGCTTCCTCTGATCACAGTTGGTAAGAAATGAAACGATCTGTTATTATTTTTTCCCAAAGTTCATTTGGATCAAATGCTATTTTGTGAAAGTATAGTGAATAAATACCGAAACTTTTACCATTATGAGAAGATAACTTGCTCATTTACACAATTATATAAGATTATCATCTTACATTAGAATGTTAGCAATAAAGATAAGTTTTTTGTTGTTTTATGTTTTTTTTGTTGTTGTTAAGTTTAGAAAGAACAACCTCATTTGTGTCTAGCATGAAATCGTTAATTGTACAAGACATTAAAATATTTCCTCCTGCTTTGTCTGGAAACAGAACATTCACATGATGCCTGTTGCATTCATTATGTTGCATGCTGCTTGAAATATTTGTGATTATTCAGTGTATAAGACCTTTTAACTCAATCTCTGATATCTGTGTAGATATAGCAGTGCTTTCTTTCTTTACTTTTCGGCATAATACATTCTCACTACTAGGTGAGGGATTTATTTAAAATAGTACAAAGTAATACATCTAGAAACTAAATATTTTCATACGCAAAGATTATTTTTTGCAGGCAACGAACTTTTAAAAGATTTGACTTTTTGACTTTCTAAAAAGAAAAGAAACACAAACAGTGTACATGTACTGTTGTGTATTTGAATGTCATTTTGAGCATTAGAACATCACTTTATATCATGAATGTCAACTATATTTTAAGAATGCTTCATTGATTAAGAATCTTATTTAGCTTTGATTACTTTTTAATATTTGGTACATTATTTTTTCTGTTAGAATCAAAACAGGAATCTCGTGAGAGTAGACGGGCATCTAGAACCCCTTCCAAACCCCCTAGTAACCCTAAATTACTATCTGAAGATAGAACATTGAGTAAGCCAATGTGTAGATCAGACACATTTGCACACAAACACACAAAGTGTGCAGAAACGTTGCTAGTTTGAAGTGACTTGGTTGGTGTATGGGTTACACAAAATGTATTGTTATTTTCATGTCTTTTACCCTTGTGAAGTTGTGATCATGTCTATTATTATTGATGGATTGGAGGCGTATGTCCAACACTAGCTATGTATATTATTCTTCATACTATGCCAGGAATAGGAAATTATAAATATATCTCATTTCTGTAACTATGTCATGACAAACGTATCGTTGTGTCTATACACTTGCATTTTTCTTTGTAATAGCAGCATTTACACAGCATATTATTCTAGTTTGCAAATAATACTCATTATTTACACAGGATTATAGCATTATTTATAATAATTCATTATTTATCATAATTTATCCATCATTTCTTCATATCCTTACAACAATTTTTAGCTCGACTATTTGATAAGAATAAGTAGAGCTATTGTAGTCACCCGAGCATCGGCGTCGGTGTCGGCGTAACCACTTCATGTTAAAGTTTTTCTAATACCTCAAATATTTTTAAAGTGTATTGACATATGGCTTTGAAACTTTGCACACTTGTTCACCATCTTGATCCCAACCTGTTGACAGAATTATGCCCCTTTTTCAACTTAGAATTTTCATTTAGGTTTGCATACCACCTCAGATATTTTCATATTCTATTGAAACAAGTTTGAAATTTTATACTCTTTTTTGAGAGCATAATATAATACTCTCTCTATGGCCTATAACTGTAACATGGATTTTAAAGAAAAATTCTGTCCTTTTGTTATAAACTCAGAAAATTTTACATTATCAAGGCTCTTTTACTATCAAGCACTAAGACTAGTCGAGCGTTGCTGTCCTACCGACAGCTCTTGTTTGTTTAATTATAGTCATTAAATAGGTCATTAACTAAAAGTGAAACAAGGGAATAAAATCTGTCTGTACTCATATGAGTAATTACATTTCAAATAGCATCTTACTTTACTTACTTTTTACCAAAGAACCATCATAACCCAGAACCTCATTAAAATAGCAAGGTCACTAACTCTTGATAAATGCTTAAGTAAAAACATCATGTTTGATCAAAGTTTTTTCTTTGCTATTTCTAAATTATTTTAAAAACAAAGCAGTACATATCATTCTACATTTATTTGTATTTTATTGCATTACAAACATTTAGGTCGTTAACTAGAAGTAGTCTCCCTTTTGCATTGTTACTTAGTCTCAGTTGCTTCCCCTGAAAGCTTTGAATGTTTTGTGTTTGTTGGGTTTTTACAGTTGGGCAAGGATTGTCAGATAAAGTACCGGGAGTAGTAAGTTTTACTGCAACCTATCCAATATACCTTGTTCGCCCTGTGTTTGTTGGTTTAATGTTGAAGTTTTCATTACCACATGTATACATGTACCGTATATTTTATTTCGAAGAAATTTGTCTTCAAATAACCATTTCAAAATCAAGTATGGCTGTTTTTTTGCAAGAAGGGTTGACTTTGACTGCAGCATCTATAGTAACTTAGTGCAAGTCTCATTTTTATATCTAAGGCTTTTAAAAAAAATTTACTAAATAAATCTGCCGAACATCTAGTTTTCTTTTTTTCTATATATTGCTTTAACTGCACTTTATTGATACAAGACCAAAGATTTTAAAAACGAAAATTATTTTCAAAAGGTAAGACAAACAATTTATAGACATGTGAAGTTGTCTTTGCTAACATTATGTTATTTTGTTCATGTGTTTTGTTTAAAGTGATCTTAACATGTTTGTATATTAGAAAACCCCTGTTCCATATCATTCAATTATTCATATTTTACTCTATTATTTTGATCCTGTATAATAATAGCTAGAGCAGTATTTATATCCCATGATATTGTTCTCATATTTTAAGTATTTCACTTATTCCTTCTCATTTAAGATCATTTGTTAATAAATATTTAAACATTTTTTTCCATTATCAAAGTCGTCAAAAATAATGTAAACATTCATATAATTAAGAGAATCTATTCTTTTTATATTTAGTAAATGTGTAACATTTTCATTTTTTTCTTGCATTTAAATGAAGAGACAAAAATAGAGAGAATAGAAAGTCACTGTAAGTAAGACGAAAAACAGATATTTAGCAACCAGTCAAAAACTTCAAAATCTGATTGGTTGTTACTCTAGAAAATATTTAAAAATTGACCAATGAAAGTGTTAGTTTTCATAGACTGATCACCCTTATCTGTTATTTGACTAGATTATGAATTTTGCAGAAGAATATGATTTATGGAACTATTTTGATGTGTATAAGAAATAATAAAATCATATGATACGTGATTGTTAAAGAAATATAATTTGTTTATTTTGTAGGTGATGGTAAAGGACGTAAGAGTGGAACAGGGGATAAAGGAGCCGCAAAAGCACCTGATAAGAAAGCCCCTACACCAGCTAAAGATAAAGACAAAGGAGGAAAAGTTTCAAAAGAGGTATTATTATGATTCATTGTTTGAACTGTTCTTTGTCAATTTCTGGGATATTCATATAAAATTTCTAGGTTGATCAGCCAGCAGTATTGAGCCTGGTGTGACTGTAAAAATTTGAATAATTGCTTGACTTTATACTGGTGGCAAAAACTTGTTCCTTTCAGTTTCCCAAAATTAAGGGTTAAACATTTTCAATCCAAGATTCTAAAGATTATTTTTTTTACTTGTATTTACACAAATGAATGAATTTAAAACTAAAGTTTGATGTTATTTTGAAAAGAAAGCTCCGGTCCAATGCTATTATCATATTATTACAAAAATGGCCGAAGAACATGTTGACAGATTTTGATGTCATCTATTTATCAAAATATATTTCTCATACAACTGATAAAAGTATCTGTTTTTATCAAAAATTTCTTATTAAGTAAAAATATCAACATTTTTTTGTATACGTTTTTTTTAGTCTACAAAAGTAGATATGAAGTCTGGTAAACAAAGTGCGACTCCTGCCTCTAGAGGCCCACCTAGCCGTGGTAAAACTGCGGGTAGTTTAGGGGACAGGGAAAGAACGGGCTCACCAACCAGTATGATGCAAACTTCACTGGCCCATGAAGATCCCATCATTGACAGAAAATATAAGGAGAAAATCTTTGCACAGGTAATTTCAAGTTTGTTTGTTTTGGTTTCATGTCACATAGATATTGTAAAGTTCATATGGCGAATTTCCAGCATTATTAGTGGATAGACACCTCAGGTGCCCAATTGTACAATGCTTGATAATTTTCAGTACTTAAGCTATTCCCTATATCGGAATTACATTTACTTGCATTTTATTATGCAACCAGACTCATTTTGTTAACATTAAAATGCAACTCAACACATTTTGTTAACATTAAAATGTTCACATTTAGCTTAAAACTTGCAATTTTGTTTTGTTCTGCTCATTAATTCAAAGGTAGATTATGATATATATTGGAAGCGGATTTGTATCAAAACAAGTATTGTTTACCTGCATTTTACCATCAACATTTATAAAGTCTAATTGTGTCAGACAAAAAGGTTAAGATTTTTGTATGGATAATCTCTTGCCTGTTTGAGCTCAGCTGGCCATTTACACATTGACTGATAATTACAGCATTTATAAATGATTAACATTGCATATGAAATGTAATTATTTGTTTTTCATTTTTCTTTTTTTTCAGACATATGCAATAGTGGGAGATGCTATAGATAAAATGGAGTTTGTATTTGATGAAATAATTCGAAATGATACCAATAGACCACCTCTTCAACCTTAACCCTTAAAGACGTTTTAAAAGACCTTCATCATCTTAACTGACTGTGATATTTCAAACATTTTAAATTTCAAAACGAAGTTATGTCGTCCTACATGAACAATGAAAAGTTTTAGACTTAACATAGATGTAATGCATAACCATATTAATACAAAGTGAAAAACTGTGATATTATTTATTTTCAATGTATTTATTTAAAAAAATAATTGTAACACAAGCATGTAATTTATGACTGAATTGGAGTCCAGTTGTCTCAAAAGTGATTTTATCTAGGGAGTTATGAATGGAAAAAGTTGGCAATTATATATATTCATGATAATTTATGAAATAAAATTTATTAAGAATCAAACTTATATCTTTTATGTTGTTCTTGGACATTGATTATGTTTTCATAAAAATGTGATGACAAAAAGACATTTTTTTGTGTGATTGAGCACCCATCATAGCCCATCTAGAGAGCAGTTGCAACTTCAATGATTCAACTGCTTAAGGTGTTGCCATTGAGATTTGAGGTCACAAGAGTCTTCATACAGTTATTTTAACAAGAAAACTAGAGAAAGCAGAATGGATATATTGTCCGTGGAAATATAATATGTTACGAGCCAGGCGTAACGAGAAAGAAAAGCCAGCAACAAACTTGTAACAATAACAAATTTATTACAGAAAAATTATTAAAGAAAATTAAAACAACAAATTATGTGTACAAATACCTGAAGTCCAAATATAAATGTAAAATTCAAATGTCTAGTCTGATCCTGGAATGATCCCTTTTTGAATAGCACAGTTAAATCCAAGTTAAATCCAAGAACACTTTAGAATAAATTCCCACAATAAAATCCACAAGAATAATTTTAACTATTTTAAAATAATCCAAGCTCCAATAAATCACTTAATTTCCAAGTTGAATAATAATCCAAATATATTGATGTCTTAAAAGGTAACTGATGACTTAAAAGATCACTGATGACTTAAAAGGTAATACGAAAGAAAAAATGTCTCCTATTTATATTAAGCTAAGAAGTTTCTAGAATAGTCTTCCATTTTCTACATAAATCATAATCTAGCAACTTCAACAATAAAGATCATTCCGGAAATTTCTATCTAATTATAATGCATGAGTTTTCTACAACAGTTAAGAAAGTTCTAGTACATACATGTAGTTTATGTTCTAAAAATAGAACAATGATAATATTGGAAATACCAACTGGTCAGATATAAATTATATACATGTAATATGTTGCATACATAACAAATACACCAGCACTGTTCAGACCAGAGCACTGTTCAGATTGTAAACACAAAGTGGAGAAACCAGTTTCTACATCTAGTGTTTCCTTTATCCACAGCCCATGCAAATATACATTTATTTACACTATATTCATCATAATTTAAGGGGGAGCGGTGGCCTAGTGGTTAAGATGTTTGCCTCTCAACACAGAGATCATGGGTTCGAGCCCTACTCTGATCACGACCATGTTTCTTCATATGACACCAGTACTGGTTGGTTCCAGGAAGCGGACTCGAAAGTGAATAATATAAGTTGCAAGAACTTGTTTTGCAATCGAGCTTCAATAAATATGTTTAAACCAAACCATAATTTAAACAACAACTTTAATGATTACAAAAAGTTTTCCAACAAAAATGATTCTACCCTATTTCACCTAGTACAGATACATTTATAGTGTACTGGCCCGAGCCAAGTAAAAATCTCATTGCTCTATGACTCGCCAAATTGATGCATGAAAGCTATTGTTCCCTACTTAACATAATCTGGTCCTGCAAGGTCCTACTGTATGAACACTCCTCTTATTTATCACGTATCAGTTTTCTAAGAAAAGAAAATGTCAGTTTTTTGATGACGACATATTTCTTTGTTATATTTATATCCATTTAACATGGAATACTTTCACAATATCAGCCCGCCAGTCTTCTTTCTCTAATGAACAACTTACGTACAGTTTTTGTTCTTTGTCGCAGTATGTTACAGCTTTTGGAAAATAAATATTTGCTCTCTCTAGTCCAATAATATCGCATTTCTTAAAGCTGCTTGACAGTCTCAGAATAGTGTTACTGCCTCTGTAGCACACTAGTATAGTCTCATCTTCTAATTGTTGTTGACCGTAAGGAAATTTATACGTTTGTTCTTCAAAAACGGTTTTAATATTTCCTTTCCAATCCATTTTCAAAACCTTACTATTTTGACTCCCATCTGTATCTGATACATATATAAACGTTTCATCCTTGCTGAACAAAACTCTGATAGGCCCATAGAATATAGCAGGAGAACCAAGAACATTGAGAATTTCTCCTTGAAGATTCAAAATGATTATTTTCTTTGATTTATTGTAAGAGACAACCAATTTATCCTGACTATAAGCTACACCGTTGCACTTTTCTTTTACATCTATACGTTGATCTAATGACAGTTTCGCGTCAGAATAAGACATTATCTGAACAAACATTTCATTGAAAAAAGCTACAGCAAGCTTTTTGTCTGGAAGAGTTATAACATCTGAGGGACCTGAAAACATTTTTACCTCTGCCACAACTACTTTTTTCTCAATGTCAATCAGTTTTATATTTTTGTTAGTGTTATCGGAAACAACAATTTTTGTAGGAGCAATCATTACCATACCAGTAATGTTACTTTTCTCTTTCTCTGATTTCATTTTCACGTCTATTGTATCTATATATTGTAAATCTATTGCTCTATCTGGGCATGGATGTACAAATGTTGACAATGTCCAATAATTTTTGTCAGTCCTAAGAAAATCTATAATGCTTGTGTTGCGGGTAAATTGAACACAATCATTTGCTGTATTTGCATGCAAAACGTTCTTTTCCTTATCTGTCAGTATCGGTAGACGTTTTCCGACGTTTTTAATCTCCATAAAAAGCTTATTTTGCTTGTTCTGTTCTTGTAATGATCTTAACAACGAATGTGAACATTCAAGTTCTTCACGTATCTCTAAGCAAGCATTTAATACGGTTTCCTGTTTACATTTTGCACTTTTTAAAATTGTGTCAGCTTCTTTAAATATCTGGGTTTCCATTCTGTCCAAACATTCATTTATTTCTTTCCTGAAGGCTTTGATATCTTCAACAACTTTAGCATGACTCTGGTCTAGATTTTGCGCAGCTTTGCTAACATATTCTACGTTCGATTTACATTTTGTTATCAATGTTTCCATTTGTTCTAATATATCTGTCATCTCATCAGACAGGTTTTCAGAAACATCAGGAATATAGTCCACCTTACACTGTTTATGTTCTAATGTAACGCACACATAACAAGCCACAGATGTGTGATCCCTACAATAGAATTCTAATGGTTTATCTTGGTGTTTCGTGCAAAAGTCGGCCGTATCCTCAGATTTTGTAGGTGCATTAACCCGGGTCTTTGGCATTGATTCTTTGTCAATGAGTACATGGTTTTTAAATGGACGAGCGCGTCTATGATGTTTGTAGCATGTTTCACATAGATGCTCCTGGCAGTCCTGGCAGAAGCCATAAGCATGTTCCTTCAAACCATCACTGTCACATGGAAGACATATTAATTTCGAGTCATCATCATTGAGATCTCCTAGACCTAATTTACCAGGAACCTCCATTCCTGTCTGAAAAAATATGATATGTGAAGAATTTTTTTTTCAAAATCATATCAATTATGATGTTAATTACATGGAATTCGACCGATCCATTTACATTTAAAACACTAGTATCAATTTCTGATGGGCAATCAAATTACTGGCATATTTTCAGAAATACCCTTTTAAAATATTTGACCTGATAAGTAAAATATTATAAATTTATACTTTAATTCTAAAACTTTATATGTTAGTTTTTCTACTTGTATTTCAATTAAAGGCGTATGCTAGTGTTACATATAGCAGAATATAATCGCATATCGAATTCATTTTAATCTATCATGATCTTAAAGTAAGAGAAAATAATTGGGGGTCACCCAAAAGAAAGCCATGTCGACTTCCGTTCGTGCATAATTTGAAGATGAAATTAACACTAACTAATTAAAATTGTCTATACACATATATGAAAAATCAGGTTTATTTGTAATAACTTTAAGACTCTTCGTATTAGTATACATATTAGATAAATAACTTTGTCATTTTTTACATAAAATTTTATACAATTTATTTCTATTAATATCTGCTTGAAAGGCCTGGGCACTGTCTTCCGAGAGATATTTGCTATCATTTTTATTGAAATGAATTCTTATGAAAAAAAAAAATTGTAAAGGGTGCTATTTGTTTTCAACAAGTATTTACTTTCAGAAATAACAACAATTAGATAATATTTAATCAGTAGCATGCAATCAGTTTAAGACAAAACAAATTGGGTCGATACTGTAGAAATATGGTGCACAAATTGTCAACTCAATATTTTAAGTGATCAAATCGTAAATCGATAGGTACTGACTTCAAGTAACGATATCCCGGTTGTCTAGAGGTAAAGGTTAAAAATACAATAATGAAGAGTATATAGACTGTCACACATAATGTTTAATTTTGAAAGGTTATTTATATTTTAATTAAAGAGAGCATATCATGTAACTATCCTTCAAACAAAGATACCATGTGTGCTTTTTATTTCCTACACAAGAAAATAAAAATAAAGGTAGAAATCTTGTTTACCCTCTGGTCGTTTGGTAAATATTTAGTCACCTGATAAGATTATCAGTGTACGTAAGTAAGTAAAATATTCATTAATTGTCACGTTACTTGTTTGATATTTATAAAGCATATTTACAAACATGTATCACAATTAACAAAATTTCTTATATTTTTACCACGATATGTTTATGATTTAGAAAAATGAAAAATAAAATTGAAACAAAACAAAAAGTTGTGATATTGTTGTGAAAACTTGAAATATACTATTTTATTTTTAGGACGAAAAATACATTATGTACTAAAGTCCCTTTTGTTTGCATACGTACGAAATATGATTTTATTCTTAGGTGAATATTAGATTTAATATTCTAAATTTGCTTACCTTGTAATCTAAACATTTGGACTTTGGAACGCGGAAGTTCAAAAGAACGTGAAAAGGGAATGTACTCTTACGTAAATATGGTTGGTATGATATGTTTCAATAAGAGTGCATTCCCTTTTTACTTTCATGTTGACATAATAATATGTTTCTAAAGGTTTTTCATATGTTAAAGCAAGCCTACCTCCTAATTGATGCTAATTTTCATGAAAATTTTGAAAATGCATTTAAAATTAAAATATCATGAAGCGAACAAAGAAAGAAATTTGCACATTGCAAACGGCACTCACAATCCAGAGGTCAAAATATACATACATGCCTCTTACTGCGTTAGTAACGCAGTAGAACTACAGTGATTGTTGTCAATCGCACATAACATTTAAATAATTCATTAGATATTGAATATTTTTACTTTTCTTAAGATCTTCATATATATTTCTAAAGATTGAATTTCTTGAAATATTTTGGCTCATCTGGTAATACCTAATTTACTGATTACGAACGATTTTACTAGAATAATAATCTTATTCACAGATTTTGCCTTTGGTATATGATATGGTGTAATATAAGGGGATTTATCGTAAAGAATAAAGAATATGTTGTAGTTGTATCCTCTGCAATATAATCAAGACAGACAAGCGCTGGTATACCAATATAACTTTGCACTCCCTTGTTCAACAGTGAATTCATTTGTTTTTTACTTAAACTTAATAGAGAAGAAATAATAAGGCAGTATCAAGCAAGCTTGATTCTGTTTATTGAACACACGTGATTTAATCTAGTTTGAGGCATCATCGGGTGATAATTCATGAGTTAATATAAGGTCCAGTTTTATCTTTTAAAGATCGTGTCTAAAAAGTTGTTGTACCTTTAGTTTGAAGATAATCTAGTCATAAAAATAAAGTTATAGTTAAGTAAATATTATTTTTCACGTAAGGTTGATATAAATCATGCATTCATAATGTCTTTTCTTAACAAAATACAATATTATTTCAATCTAAGATTGTCACTCACTTTAAGATTGAGTTAACCAATTAGTTTCAGAATTACAGCTAAAATGATTTCATATCTTAATTTTTATCTAATAATTTTAGTGTTTTTAGGAGCATATTTTAAATGATTCTTTGTGGCCAGTACGGAACCAATCAATGGCCATTTCAGAACGTACAGATGTGTAAGATAACTGAAGAACAGATTCAATAAAAATAATCAAACGACCTAGAATATAGCTAGTTGTTGTCCAATTTTGCATTTTAGTTCAAAGGATTGAGCTTCCAGGTAAATATGACCTCAACCATTAGCCTGCTCATTGACTAACAATATTTCCTTCGCTTTGAATTTTGAACAGTCCATTTAAAGTTTAGGGGACCTCAAAAGCAGAGTACAAGAAATGTTCTACCAACAGCGTAATGCCTGGTTAGACTACACAGAGAATGGCCCGGCACTGTAAAGGTGACAAAGGCTAATTACTTTCTGTTACAGAATGTTGAGAGTTAAGACATAAAACTACTTGATAACAGCAATATCTATAGTGATCAAACTTCACAGAAAATTTGCCTGTAGCTCACTGTGGACCTTTATTGATTTTGGGTGTAACTGATTCAATGTCAATGGTACATGTTTCTTTAAACAGAAGACGTTGTGTGTTCAATGATGAGAGAAAAGTTGCCTTACTGAATGTACATTTCAAAAGTTATTTGTGCTCAAATGATTAAACTAAGATCTCTTTTGCCTCATTCGCTTTAGCCAAAACTTTCTCTTTTTACTTATTCCTCATTCTCATTTTGCACGGAAAGCATACGTTTTTTTGGTCGGGTTTCACGAAAAACGGGACAAAATGGTACACATTTCCGAATTTGTTTCTACCAAATAAAATAGAGAAAAACAGAATCCCTGAAGAACGCCCAACACGATAAAATTGTAAAATTTGGCAGGCTTTGATTGAGCCTGTTCATGGACGGTACTGGTAAGTGCAAGTTACCGTCCACGCCCCTAGCACCGGCTTAAGCAGAATTCAACATTTAAACATGAAATAGTAAAATTTTGAATTTAGAAACATCCGCAGATGTGTTCATACGGCGGTTATCATGGAACCTTCAATGTGACACAGTAGTGCCATTCCATGAAAAGCGGCGTATGGTCCCCAAGTAATAAAAAGCGTAACCTAAATCTAGAAGTTCTGAGAGGTCTTTCGAACAGCTTCTCTGCAACAGAACTAACCAGCGAACATGTGCATGAAGATATTTATAAACATGACACAAGTTCATGGTCAATATTATAATTGAATAAAGGCTGAATGTCTTTTTAAACATTTCTATAATTTCCATCCTTTCATCAGTTTACGGGATCAAAATCTTAAGAATAAAACTCTCTCTGTCAGATCTATTTTATTAGACATGCTTCTATTTAAGATGCGTTACGACATAATGTCGATGTTGTCCACATATTTGAAACTTATCAAGATAGACATGTAAAATAAAAAAGAATCTACGAAAAAGAATGTAATAGTCTTTGAAATCACTTTTCTGAACGTTGATTCTAAACACAAAATTGGGGTAGCATAATATATTTTAGAAGTAATGAAAACTGTGAGGAAATTGTGACAGTCGAGGTAAAGATTTTATTTAGTCTTCAATAAAAGTATTGATAATAATAAAGCATGTGGATAATGTCAGCAAATAAAGATAATCAGTCGCTACAATGTCATATCGTGTGAATCAGCTTATTTTATTCGTGTGACTCGTCTTATTTTATAACCGATATCTCAGTTGATAAAAAAATTAATGACGACACATCCCTATGTAATATTAGCCTATCATATTTCTTTTTCCATTTAGCAAATAGCATAAATTTATGTTCTATATCACAGTATGCTTAAAGGTTATAAATATTTGCTCTCGTTGGTCCAAAATGTCATATGTTTTAAGCTGCTTAACAGTCTCAGGATATCGTCACTTCCTTTGTTACAAACAAGAATCCTTATGTCTGCTGTAGACAATTAGAAACCTTATAAACTGGTAATGGGTTTATTGTTTTTCGCAATCAGTTTTCTTGAATGTAACTGCTCACTTTTCAGAGCAACTATAAACAAATATGTGTCAAATGGCCAGTGTTAGTTTGAATTGCAATTTTGATATATTGTTTCTCAAAAGCAACTTTAAAAATTATTGGGATCTTTAGAGTCATGTGAAATGTATGGAAAATGACAATATTGTGTAAGCTAGCTATTACATATATTCACATATTTTAAAACATTGTACACAACATATAAAAATGGAATATATAAAAGTATGTATTTGAGAATCCTTTGATCACAGTTTTTGTAAGAAATAAAACGATCTGTTACTATTTTTTACCCAAAATTCATTTTGATTAAATGCTCTTTTGTGAAAGAATGGTGGATAAGTTCCGAAACTTATATCCTTATGTGAAGATAACTTGCTCATTTACACAAGTATATAAAAGTTTCATCTAACTTTAGAATGTTCGCAATAAAGATACTTTTGTTGTGGTTTTATGTTGTTTTTTGTTGTTAATCTTTGTAAAGAACAACCGCAGTTGTTTCTATCATGAAAATTGTACAAGACATTAAAATGTTTCCTTCTGCTTTGTCTGGAAACAGAACATTTGCATGATGCCTGTTGCACACATTATGCTGCATGCTGCTTGAATATTTTTGATTATTCAGTGTTTAAGAAATAGCAGTGTTTTTTTTATTTGTTTGTTTTTGCATAATACATAAAGGTCTCCCTACTAGTTGAGGGTTTTATTTGAAATAGTAAATAATTATACATCTGTAAACGATAAATTTTCATATGCAGAGAAGAGATTTTTGTCAGACAACTAACTTTTCACAGATATGATTATTTTGACTTTCTAAAAGAGAAAAGAAACAAAAACACTGTACACGTACTGTTGTGTATTTGAATGTTAGTTGAGCATGAAAACATAATTTCATATCAATATTCAGAAATATGAATATCAACTATATTTTAAGAATATTTCATAGATTAAGAAGCTTACTTAGCTTTGATTATTTTTTAATATTTTGGTACATTATTTTTATTTGTTAGAATCAAAACAGGAATCTCGTGAGAGATGGCGGGCATCTAGAACCTCTTTAAAACCTCCTAGTAACCCTAAATTACTATCTAAAGATAGTACATTAAGTAAAACAATGTGTAGATGAGACACATATGCACACAAACACACAAAGTGTGCAGAAACGTTGCTAGTTTGAAGTGATAAAAAGGCTTTTTAAAATTCTTTACTAATTAAATCTGCCGAACATTTGTTTTCTTTTTTTTCTACATATTGCATTTACTTCACTTATTGGAATAAAACCAAAAATTTTCAAAGAACAAAAATTATTTTCAAGAAGTAAGACACACTTTTTATAGACATGTGAAGTTGTCTTTGCTAACTTTATGTAATTTTGTTCATGTGTTTTGTTTAAAAGTGATATTAACATGTTTGTATATTAGAAAAACACCTGTTCCATATCATTCAAGTATTCATATTTTACTCCATTATTTTGATCCTGTACAATAATAGCTAGAGCATTATTTATATTCCATGATATTGTTCTCATATTTTAGGAATTTCACTTATTCCTTCTCATTTATCATCATTATTTATTTTATTTAATATATATTGAAACATTTTGTCCCATTACATAATTATTATAGTCACCAAAAATAATGTAAACATTATTATATCATTTAGAAAAAATCTATTTTTTTTATATTTAGTAAATGTGTAAAATTTTCATTTTTTTTCCAGATATTTGGCGACCAGTCTAAAACTTCAACATCTGATTAGTTGTTGTTCTAGAAAATATTTAAAAATTGACCAATAAAAGTGGTAGTTTTTATAGACTGATCACCATTATCTGTTATTGACCTAAATTATGAATTTTGCAGAAGAATATGATTTAAGGAAATATTTCAATGTGTTTAAGAAATATTAGAATCATAATTATGATACATGATTGTTTAAGAAATATAGTTTGTTTATTTTGTAGGTGATGGTAAATGACGTAAGAGTGGAACAGGCGATGAAAAAGCCGCAAAAAACCTGATAATAAATCTCCTACACCAGCTAAAGATAAAGACAAAGGAGGAAAGTTTCAAAAGAGGTATTATTAACATTTAGCGTACTGCATTTCTTACAAAAATTACCTGCACTACTTTCAATATTTGAACTGTCATTTGTCAATTTTTGGGGATATTCAGAGAAAATTTTCACAGTTGATCAGTCAGTAGTATAGAGTCTTGTGTGAAATCACAGATGTGCATATTTGCTCGACTTATACTGGTGGCAAAAACTAATTCTTTCAGTTTTAGTAGTATAAAGATTACATTTTTTCTATCCAAGATTTTAAAGATTATTTCTTTACTTGTATTTACACAAATGAATGAATTACAAACTTAAGTTTAATGTTGTTTTGGAAAAAGGTCCGGTCCCCCGCTGTTATCATATTATTACAAAAAATAAAGGCCGAAGTACATGTTGACAGATTTTGATGTCATCTATTAATCAAAGTATATTTCTCATAAAATATTTGTTTTTATCAAAAATTTCTTATTAAGTATAAAGATCAACATTTTTAGTATACATTCTTTTCAGTCTACAAAAGTAGATATGAAGTCTGGTAAACAAAGTGCGACTCCTGCCTCTAGAGGCCCACCTAGCCTTGGTAAAACTGCGGGTAGTTTAGGGGACAGGGAAACATCATTGACAGAAAATATAAGGAGAAAACTTTTGCACAGGTAATTTTAAGTTTGTTTCTTTTGGTTTAGGTGAAACAGATCATATGGTCTTATAGCAAACAACTTTATTAGTGGCTAGACACCTGCATTTAACAATCAACATTTATACAGTCTAATTGTGCCAGACAAAAAGATTAAAACTTTTGCATGGATAATCTTTTGCCTCTATGAGCTCAGCTGATCATTTAAACATAGACTGATAATTACAACTTACAATTACAATTTGTAAATGGTTAACATTGTAAATGAAATGTAATTATTTGTTTTTCTTTCCCCCCCCCCCCAGACATATGCAATAGTAGGAGATGATATAGACAAAATGGAGTTTGTATTTGATGAAATAATTCGAAATGATACCAATAGACCACCTCTTCAACCTGAACCTTTGATGACATTTTAAAAGACCTTCGTCATCTTGACCTAATACTGTGATACTTCAAACATTCTATTTTCAAGATGAATGTTATGTCATTCTACATGAACAATGGGATGTTTAAGACTTAACATAGATGTGATGCAAAACCATATTAATACAAAGTGAAAAACTGTGATATTATTTATTTTCAATATTAAAAATGATTCTACGTAACATATTATTCATGACTTTATTCCAGTTGTCTCAAAAATAATTTTATCAAGAGAGTTACAATCACATAGTATCATGAAGATTTATGGAATAAATCGATTAACAATCACACTTGTATTTTATGTTGTTCTTGAACATTGATTATGTAATGACAAAATGACTTTTTTGTGAAGCATTCAATCTTAACTCACACACAGGGATAAACAAAATGATTGAAAAGTTTTTCCTTTTGATAGGAACCTTTTTTCTTGAATGCCGTATGTATTTACTACTGGAATATTAATAGGTTGCTTTACAGTCATAGTGTCCCGTGAAGATGAAAAACATTATAACATTCAATTCAAGTAAGCTTATTGTCTTCATCGTACCCGTATTCATAATGTGATAGAACGTGTACACATGTATTTAATGCCGCATAAGATGAAAAGGAACCTTACATTGGCCACGAATCATAACTCAGAAGAGTAGTTGGAACTTCATCGATTAATCTGCTAAGGGTGTTGTCGGTTGATGATCGATTGATGTTCGAGGTCACAAGGGCCATGATACACTAAATTTTCTTCCACAAGAAAACTAGAGAATGCAGATGTCTTATATATTGCCTGTGGAAGGAAATGTATCAGCACCGTACAAACAATTGATTATTAACACAAAGTTGACAAGAGACAAGAATCTTAGATTTATGAAAACTGGAAGTCAAATGTGACAATGGTGATGATGGTTTATTTAAGTAATAAGTATGTCCATGAGAAACATGGAATTTGAGATTATTTCATCTCTAGGAACAATTTAAAAGGCATATTCATGGTCATTAAAACAATAGTGTATTTATTTATATTTTTATTAAACTCTCACCAGAGCACAATGCATCACCTCATAACATGACATTTATTTACATGTATATACTTTGCAAAAATCCATGCTAGGGTAGAATTGTAAGAGACTACATTGTGCTTATATATATGTATTATGTTCAGACTGTCTCGTTCTTACATACATGTATAATCCTCAAAATAATGGTAAGACATTCCTTGTTAATTTTGACAGCCACTGTATGATATTACTAGGGTTAAGTGATAGATGAAAAGATAAAATGAGACATGATTTTGAAAAAAGCAGAACAAGATGCACAAGAGTTAAAAGCACCATAAACTATGTATTATCACTAAGGAATTTTAGCAAACGGATTAGCAAGGAATTTCTAAGTTAGTAAAACCTAAATGATTGATTGAAGAATTCAGACTCTAATACAAAATTAAAACATTCAGTAATAGGTAAAAGCGTACACTGTACAATATAAAGTTCAACATATATACATAATTCAAAACATTAAGTAGATTTACATTACAAAGCATTGTTTCTAGTTTTCAACATATTACAACATATATTTTCTGTTTTTCTAACCATATCAGTATTTGAGCACAGAAATTTTAACTTTTTATGATTCATTTCATACGTTAAAATGACAGGCTTTTTCACAATTTATTTGGCTCTCATTGGTCATTTGAGCATAACATGGAGTAGCTCTGATTCGAGATCTACACAATTATTACACAACTGACTTGTCTTTTTAGGTTTTTGGAAGATTTTCATAATGAACAGTCTCTGACACGGCATATAAACCTAGCGAAGGGGGACATATAAGGAAATGGCCAATTAATTTTGCAATTATAGTGTTCAACAGCATAAATATCTTATAGAGTTATTATTATATATATTCTAAGGTTATTTTGGCAGTTTCCTTCAACTCAGTGACTCTCTGCAGATCATTAAACCCTTGAGCTGTGCAATTAAATATCAGTATATCCATAAAGTATATGAAGAAAACAAACTAAAGAAATTATCAATTTTATACATAGATTGATGACCACATATTTCTTTCTTTGTAATGATTATATCCACTTTACATGGAATACTTTAACAGTATCAGCCTGCGGTGACCCTATATCGGATGAACAACTAACATACAGTTTTTGTTCTCTGTCACAGTATGTTAAAGCTGTTGGAAAATAAATATTTGCTTTCTCTAGTCCAATAATATCACATCTCTTTAAGCTGCTTGACAGTCTCAGAATAGTGTTACTGTCTTTGTAACATACCAGTATAGTCTCATCTTCTAATTGTTGTTGACCGTAAGGAATATTATATCTTGGGTCTTCAAAAATGGTTTTGACATTTCCTTTCCAATCAATTTTCAAAACCTTGCTATTTTGTCTCCAAACCCCATCCGATACATATATAAACGTTTCATCCCTTCTGATGAAAATTCTGACAGGCCCATAGAATAAAGTAGGAGAACCAAGAACTTCGAGAATTTCTCCTTGAAAATTCAAAATGATTATTTTCTTTGATTTTTTGCAAGAGACAACCAATTTATCCTGGCTATAAGCAACACCATTGCACGATTCTCTTACATCTATACACTGATCTAATGAAAGTTTTGCATCAGAATAAGACCATATCTGAACAATTGTTTCACCATACAAAGTTAAAGCAAGCTTTTTTTCTGGAAGAGTTATAATATCCAACGGACGTGAAGACATCTCTACCACAGTTACAATTACATTTTTCTGAACGTCGATCAGTTTTATATTTTTTGTTACTGTTATCAGCAACAACCATTTTTGTAGGAGCAATCAAAACCATACCGGTAATGTTACATTTTTCTTTGTCTGATGTCTGTTTCATGTCTATTGTATCTATATATTGTAAATCTATTGCTCTTTCTGGGTATGGTTGCACAAATGTTGACAATGTTCCATAGTTATTCTCAGTCTTCAGAAAATCTATAATGCTTGCGTTGCGGGTAAATTGAACACAATCGTTCGCTGTATTTGCATGCAATACAGTCTTTTCCTTATCTGTCAATATTGGCAGACTTTTTCTAATGTTTTTAATCTTAATAAAACGCTTAGTTTGCTTGATCTCTTCTTTAAATGACCTTAACAACGCATGTGAACATTCAAGTTCTTCCGTTATCTCTAAACAAGCATTTAATATGAGTTCCTGTTTACATTTTGCTTCTTTTACAATTGTGTCAGCTTCATTTAATATTCTGGTTTCCATTCTGTCCAAACATTTATTTATCTCTTTCCTGAAGACTTTGATATCTTCAACAACTTTTGCATGACTTTGGTCTAGATGTTGCGCAGCTTTGCAAGCATATTCTATGTTTGATTTACATTTCGTTATCAACGATTCCATTTGTTCTAATATATCAGCCATCTCATCAGACAGGTTTCCAGAAACATCAGGAATATAGTCCACGTTACACTGTTTATGTTCTAATGTAACGCACACATAACAAGCCACAGATGTGTGATCCCTACAATAGAATTCTAGTGGTTTGTCTTGGTGTTTCGTCCAAAAATCTTCCATATCTTCAGATGTTGTAGGTGCATTTACCTGGGTCTTTGGCATGTATTCTTTTTCAACAAGGACATGATTTCTCATTTGGCGTGGCCGTCTATGGTGTTTGAAGCATGTTTCACATAAGTGCTCTTGGCAGTCCTGGCAGAAGCCATAAGCAGGTTCCTTCAAACCATCAATATCACACGGGAGGCATACTAATGTCGAGTCTTCGGCACTTACAGCTCCTAGATCTAATTTCCAAGGGACCTCCATACCAGCCTTAAAATATTACATAAAAAGTATTTATTTATATTGATATTTGTTTCAAAATCACATAAATTGTAATCTTATATACATTGTATGAGAATAACCTATTTTATGCTCTTATTCGATGCTCTCAAACGAGCATAAATGATTTATTATCCTCCAACATACACCTGCATTCAAGCAGCTTTAAAGAAAAACATAACATAAAACAAGGTTAGAGGGCATGCCGTTAAGCCGTCCCGTTTATTTGTCAAAAGATTTACAGGAAACAAAAGAAACAACTCCATTGATCAATACTTGAAGAAAACCTGCAAGTGTACTTCTAAAATTTTCGTGCTCTGCTCTCCGATCCAACCAAACAAACCTAATGAAATTCGATTTCTAAGAAATACTATTTTTAATCAATCGCAGGTAGAATTAACAAATATAATATAATTGGAAAAAGCCAAAGTCAGAAATGCTGCGAGCGGGCTACCCAACCCTACTCCGTCTTGGGAGGGGGAGGTAGGAAGCTCCAAAGCTCTAGATCAGCGGCTGCTTCAATCGCCTATCTGACAAATCCCCAATTTTGAGTCTAATAAAAAACCATTAATTATATGAAATGCATTAAGTTCAGATTAAATCAAAACATGACATTGATATTTTCCCTGAAATAGATAAAACAAGATATCAAAAATCTGTTTAAGGCAATGTTAAATACATAAATTTATTCATGATATTTCGTAATATATGAAAATTATATTTAAAGAAATTTCACAAATGGACGGCGTGAACGTAATGCCTCGAATGACTATATTTTATCAACTTACACGTAAAATCGTGCATAATTACCGCCAAAACTATAACCATTAAAAACACGAGGAATTACCATATATGGAAAGACACGGTGTATGCACCGTAAATAAATACATACTTTACGTTTAACACATAATCAGTTTACTCAATTTCTGCCGTACAGCCGTACATATTAATTGTAGAATTCATTGTTTTTACAGGTTTATTCTAGAATCTATAAATATTCATAAACTTTAGATTTTAAAATTATATTGTAACTTTTGATATTGACTATCTTATCATCACACCAATAGGATGTCTTGTTCACGGGCACACTCCACGGTAAAGTTATGGAAAGGCGCGATAAAATATATCTATTATCTAAACAAATATTCAATGCAATATTACTTTAGTAATGACAATTGACAATGGTTTATTAAATTTACTATTATCTTAATCTCAAGTTAATTTAATGATAACTGATATTAGATTATAAAGTCATAGAAGATTTTGTCTCATCGACGGTGTTTATTAGCTCAAATAATTTGAATATATTTGGTCTTTCATAATGGAATAGTTTTAGATATTTTTTTTATATTTATATATGCTTTTAATATTTACATTGAAGAAGGATATGAAACTCATCTCCTATATCGGAGTGACATTTTAAACATTTTCTTTCACTGTATTCAATGCGTCTGATTTTTCATCCGCTAGATTCAACTGGTAATTTATGGTTTGATGTCCAAAATTTTATAGAGGATATTTAATGAGATGAAATAAAATTACATCTTACACAACAAACAAACAATTTTTTTTTATTTTATGCTAAAAACAAGTTAAAAGGAACTTTCCATAATATTAACGTAAATAATAAAATCTGTTTTCCCCATTGAGAGCCCCATTTAGTCGGAATTTCTCATTAAAAACAAGAAGTCTTGAGTTGAAAAATTTGATTAAATTTAAAGTTATTTGAATAAAGCATAGCTTCGTAACAGAGTAATGATAATTTCGTATTTTTTCTAGGTTACAAGTTCGTTCGAGAAGGATATCATTCTTGATTTGTTTGTTATTTCGTTAAGGTAACACCTAGCTTGCCATATAGTATAAAGAGTAAGGTATTTTCCTAGTTCTGGTAATTGTTCTTAAGAAGTATGTATTTCAAATGAAAATAGAATATTGAAGTATTTTTTGTGTGCCAAATATAGTTTTTTCTGTATTTTTTCTAGCTTTTATCCTTACAATAGTAATTGTAATCGTTTAGTGCTTTTTAAGAGAATTTGTATACTCTGCTATTATAACGGTACCGGCTGCGTACAATAGGATTAGAATTTTAAATAAAAAGTGTTTCATTACTGTTTGCTTTTACCTCAATTCCTTTGTTACCTTGTGACATTAAAAAGTGTTCAAGGTCATAAAGATAAATTTAATGTGTTTATACATGTAAAAGATAATTCCAAGAAATGTCCAATTTATTCCTTTATCTAGTAATTATGACCTAATAAGAATGCTTAAGATGTTGCAAAAAGTTGCTTTAAGTTTACTTCATAAGAAAACTGAAATATAGCACTGATGTTTTAAGATAACATATTCAAAATATGCTGTATATATAATCAGGCCTCGTCATAAGCGGTGGTCCATTGGTCCGTGACCACCTGATTTTGGCAAGGACCACCTAATTTTACAGACAACTGGTCTGTTAGACCACTTGAATTTTTCAAATGGTGCAGGGCTTACCTGGGAGAATGGTTATTTGGTCGAAAAACGTGTTCTATAATTGTTGTTTAAAACCATTTCTCCGATGTACAGGTATATGTTCATTCATCTCATTAGTTCAAAAGATCTTAGGACATCCATAACTTTTTATTACAGTGTAGTTAAAAAAAGTAGAAAATTATTTTAATAATTAAAGTATAAAATTCATTCAAATGTCTCTAGTACTGCATTGAATTTATAACATTGTATCACTATGGGATATCGGATAAACACATGAATAATGATGCAAACAAAGGCAAAGGAAAAATTAAATATCAAGTAATCTTTGGCTACTTTTTTGAACGATCAGAGATCCATTTTTGTCTTATTTAAAGTACTTTAAAAGGTTATAAATACTTTGTCAGAAATAAATAAATTTCAACAAACAAGCATGTATAATAAATCTGTGAGGAAGATAAGCTCAATTATAATGTAGGAATGTTTCTGTTTATCATTAATATTTCATTGTTTCAAAGACAAGATTATAATAACTTAATAGTTTAATTAAAAATGTTAATCTATAAAAAGCAATTATTTTTCTTATAAGATGTACCAGGAAACAGCAATGAGTATTTGAATAACAGTAAGGAAATAAGTCATTCACAAATGGAAGTCACTTAACCGAAGTATGAGTATTGTCATGTATTTTTCAATGAGATAATAAATACTAAATAGGATTACAATGACTTACTATCTGATCTACGATCGTAAGATTGAAATAGAAAAAATACATGTTTTCTTCAGTTGTTATAAATCTAATAATAAGTATGTCTCTGTTACCAATTTTAAGTGTAGTTTTTCTAAATCTGAAGTTTCCTTAAAAACAAATGAGTAAAAAAAAAGATGGACCACCTGTGTTCAGAAAGGACCACCTGAATTTTGGATCCAGTGGTCCGGCATACCACCTGCTGAAAAAGTTAGTGTCGAGACCTGTATAATTATAATATTTTGATTCATTTTATATCAAAATATGTCTAAATTGATATTAACTCATGACTTTTGTTACTTTGCCATTTTATATGTGATGATTGGCTAACACTTTCTTCGTTTTTAAATTCATTAATTAATTCATTAATTCAATTGTAAGTTCCGGGTAGCGGGCTAAGTTGTTTCCCCTTCTACTAGTATTTGTCTGAATTTATCGAATCTGAAGGATCAGTTCTTAATTGTATCATAAATCTTTTGTGTAAGAGTTGTTTGATTTTGTATTGACATGTATAATGAATCAGTTGAAGTATATTTGTGTAGTAATTAGAAGGTCCTGGGAGGTAAGCCCTTGGTGAAAGGTCTTAGTACCACGCCGATAACGTGCTTATATATACTACCGTTACTTCAAAGAACTTGAACGGTAGTTAAGCAATCGACCGATGTGCAGAGTATCATTTTGATTGAATTTTTATCAAATAAAAAGAAAGAGCAATTTGTGGAGGGTGCTATATATTATTTTCAAATAAGAATTCACTTTCCGTCAATATTTAACTAATTGCATGTAATACCATCATTAAAAGAACTGACATAAGATGCCAAAGAGATTTAATCTCTTAACCAATTGTTTGGAGGTAAAGGGAAAATACTGGTGAAGAGTACTTAACATGTCAAATCTATAGTTTAATTTTGTACGGTTCTTTTATGTTTAAATAAAAGGTATAGTATCTTTTAACTATCCCTCAAACAAAAATACCATGAGTTTTGTTAATTTCATAAACAAAGAATAAAAAAAGTTAAAAATCTTATATTTTGTTTTCCGATTGGCAAATGTTTTAGTTGCAACATAAAATTATCATTGTCAAACTCCTCACAGTGATTTTTTACTGGCTACGCTCTATAGCGAAGCAAAGGGAGACCAATGCATAGGAGTTTATATCAGTGTAAAGTAAAATATTATTGTCACGTGACTTGTTTAATACTTCTTTAGCAAATTAACAAACATTTATCACAATTAGCAAAATTTCGCACGTTGTTAATTTGCTTCGATGTTAACTTCGACATGCTTTATGATTTCAGAAAAAAAAATATAAAAATGAAGCAAATTATACCTTTTTATCCTTATGACGACAATAACATGTACTTAAATTATTTTTGTTAGCATACTTATGAAATTTAATTTGCTATAACATATATATTCTTATATTTCTTACCTTGTAATAATTAGGCTAATATTTAGTCCAACTAATTGTACTGCGCGACAATATATTGTGCTATTTTCGTGTCTGGGCAATATCTCGCCTCTAAAGCGAGAGTCTGTCCCAGAACGAAAATATCTCAGAATCAAGCTTTGGCACGTCAATATATTTTGACTAGGCTAATATTGGACTTTGCAAGCGGAAGTTCAAATAAACTTAACAGGGGAATGCACTCTTTGCAAAACACTCTTTGCGTTGCATTATCTATCTTATTTTAAAGCAGCACGCCTACATAGTCATGCTAATTTTCACGAAAACTTTGAAAATGTATTAACATGTAAAATATTGGGAAGTGAACAAAAAAAATAAGTTACACATTTCAAACAAAAAATGTTCAAAAAATATCCTTTACTGAGTTAGTAACGCAGTAAAAATATGGTGAAAAATACTGCAAAAACAGTAATTTAACTCACATAACATGGAAATTTATACTTTTACAGTTGAGTTCACACTATACCTCCCATCCTTGTGCACTTCTAGTGCACTAGAGCTGAACTAGAAGTGCACACCGTGTGCACTTCTAGTGCACTAGACCATATGACCAGGCTGGTCAGGGAAGGTGACACCTAAATGGTTTATTGGATTATTGCATATCAAGTGACAGGGGACATCCATTGTTTAGCTGCTGTAAGAAAAAAAACTTTGGGAATGCCCTATTCATGAATATGAGTAAGTTAATGTTAAAATCAGCAGTTTTAACATTTTAGGTGATCATGTTAAAGCTTAAAATAAATTTGTTTTTATTTATTGTTATCATATTTTTACTAACCAGCATTTAACTGTAAGTGTAAAAAAATACCCCTTAAAATCAAATGTATATAATTAATAAAGTAAAATTTAAATATGCTCCGTAATGGATAATTAAATAAGTATTTTTAATGCTTTTATTTTTAATGGCCATGTATTTCAATTTTTTAGTGTACAAATGGGAAAATCAATGTGATAATTCTGGCCCAAATAATTAAGTTTGTAACAACATAAACTTTTTTTCATAAGCTCAAACAATCAGTAATCAAGAAAAAGGGTTTATATTTAAGCTAAAATATTATTTTTTATAATAATAACTTAGAGACAATTCCTCATGTTCAATATTGAAAGAGAATATTAATACATTAATTTTAAAACAATCAATATACTGTGATAATTTAGTATTCAACTGTGTAATGCTTGCATATGTTTTAAAGATATAAATAATTAAAATATTATCCATAAAATAAATAAATTTGATAACTTTATTCATGATTTCAATATTAAAAATTTAATGTATAAAGGGAATACTTTTATTGAAGAGGAAAATCTCAAGTCATGCTGTGTATTGGTATTTTCTGAGAGGGACTGTTTTCATTATACCACTCTCCTGCTGATAAGAGGGCCTCAGGGTAAATAACAAAGAACAGTCAATTTTGCAGATTATAAGTATGCATTGAAATTCCCTGGTTTTCTCAAAATGCATGTGAAACATAAGCCCGGGATTCATTAGGCGTTGGAACTCAAGCTAGTTAGTCATATAGATAAATGACCATAATTTTTGTATAATCAAATATACAAAAAATAATCATAATGGCATAAATGCATATTAGATATTATTGTCTCTCAAGCGGAATTTTCTTTATTTATCCATTTATCCACATTTCTTGCCATTCTACATAATAATATATAACTAAAGAGGCAATTCCTCATGTTCAAGATTGAAAGAGATTTTCATTGATTTAAAACAATCCATACACTGTGATATTATGTTGTGTATTTGTATTTTTCTGAGAGCGACTGTTTTCATTATACTGGTCTCCTGCAGATAAGAGGGCCTCAGGGTAAATAACAAAAATGCAGATGTATGCAATATTTATTGAAAATTTCCAGTTTTTCCCCAAAATACATGTTAGACATAGATAAATGACTGTAATTTTTGTATAATCAAATGTAAAAAATAATCATTATGGCATAGACGCATGATAGATATTATTGTCATTATTGTCTTTGAAGTGGAATTTTCTAATCTTATCATAAAAAATGGTTTAAAATCAATATCAGTGTTAACTATTCTAGGAAGACCTGATATCAATATTTATCCACATTACTCGCCATTCTGCATTAAAATTTGCAGCATCTTTTAGTTTCTGAACTGGGAAATGTAAATTATTTCTATTATAGATTTGACAAATTTGCCTTGTCAGTTTTAACACATTTAGAAGATAATATATTTTAAAGAAAATATTTAAATACATGATTATAAAACTCTTGCAACTTCCTTTTCACTTCAATGCAGATTTGTTTTTTTATATAAAATATCATATCATACATGAGAACAAGTGTCGAAAGTCATGCTGTGTATTGGTGTTTTAATATAGTATCCTGTTGGAAAGAGAGCCCCTCAGGGTAAATAACAAAATTAAGGCAGATGATATATATAAGTAGGCAATGTAAATTCTGTATTCTTTGGATGATGGTGCAATAATTTCATTACAAGTAGTACAAAAAGAAAAAAAAAACTGAAATATTTTTGCATTTTATAATAAACTCATAAAAAAATATCATATTGTATAATTATGTAACAATGCATAAAAAAAGAAAAAAGATTGGTGACATCTCAAACAATGGAATTGAAAGATTTTCTAATCTTTTTGTTAATATACATGCCAGTTTAAGTATACTAGTGTCCCACAGGTACATATCAATACTTAATCCACACATATCAATACTTAATCCACATTTCATACACACCACCATTATATATAGAATAATATATATCATTTATATTAATCTTAGATATATCTTAGTTTGAGAAGGTAAGAGAGATTATAAATGAGACAAAATTGACAAAATTTAGGCCAATTATAAACATATTAATTCTTTAATGTATTAAATGCTATTAATGCTTAAACTCATAACCTTTAACTTAAACAACCATAAGTTAAGATAAAAAATAACTAATTTGTATAATTTCAAAAATAAATAAATAAAAAACTGAAAAAAAACCTGACTGAATTTTGTTTAATTAGCATTTCAATGTTTCAAATTTCATTACTAGATTATAATGAAATAGAATCATATTAAATATCAATTAATTTTGTTTATTTATGCACTTATCAAGATTAAAGTTATAATTTTTTATATTTACTTATTCTAACAATTGAGTTTTAAAGTACAAAATCAGTAAAATTAATGATTTTGAAAAATTATTGTTTTAACATTTTTCGTCATATTTAACAAAACACAATATTCACAACTTCAAATTTATTATGAAAAACTATTATACAAATATCTATATTTATCTACCTTTTTGTAAAAGTCAAATTGCTATTCATTGAAATAAAAGGTAACTGCTTAATACATATAATAGGTCATGTGCACTACAAAGTGCACTTATGAAGTGCACTAGTAGTGCACATCGGGTGCACTTTAAAGTGCACTAATAGTGCACATCTAGTGCATTAGTAGTGCACTTTGTGTAACCTATAGTGTGAACTCTTTTTGCTTTTTTTAAGATTTAAGTACATTTTTTTCAAGTTTGAATTTTTATAAATATTTTGGCTTATCTGGAGACATGCAGATTTAAAATAAATATTGTATTGTGTAATATGATATGCTCTCTAGTCACGTTGGTTTAACTCAGCGTAAACTTGTCTTTCTGAGAATGCTTTAACATGTTAACATATGTTTTAGTGGTTAGAATAAAACTTATGTATATTCAATCAATGGTGTTCTAGTAATAACTGACCTTTGGTCATTCTGACAGTAGTACAGATTTTAAAGACGTTCTTTAATTAAAGAATTTTCTCTTTTACCAATTTTGCGTTGCTAAATGGCATGGGGCAATTAAAGGGAATATATCGTGACGTACGTTAGTGTAAAGTAACATAAGAATATGTTGTAGTTTTATCGCTTTGATATAAATTTCTTCAATATAATCAACAAAATTGAAAGAATGCAGACGAGCGCTTAAGGCAAAGCATTTACGGTCGACTATAAATTTAAATTTCTTGACATAAAATAGATAATAAATAAAAAGGCAATTCCATACATTCATGTTTATTTTCATTGAACAAATTTGAGTTCATCTAGTTTGAGGCACCAACAAAGATCATTTATGAGTCATTATCAAACCTAGTTTTATTTTAAAGATCGTGTTTTAAATATTGCTGTATCTTAATTTGAAGATAATCTATTCATAGAAATAAAGTTATAGCCAGTCAATGAAATGTTATTCATGTAAGGTTATTGTAAATTATGCATTAATTATGTCTTTTGTTAACCTAAGATTATATTATTACCATGCAAGATGGTCGCTTACTTTGCCAACCAGTTAATTTCAGAATTACAGCTAAAATGATAGGAGGATTTCTTGTGGTCAGTACAGGAGCCTTACATTTCAGAACGCAAATTATGCATGGTAACAATAGCACAATTTGGTCTAAAATTTTAAAATGGCATAGGATATAGTCGTTTGATGACCACTTTAGCATTTAGTTCAATAGATTGAGGTTTTAGGTAATATGGCCTTTACCTGCTAAATTACTGTAGATTTCCCTCGCTTTGAATTTGGAACAGTCCTTTTAAAGTGTTATGGGCTTAAAAGATGAGCTATCGACAGTGTTGATCCTGGTAATACTACACATAGGCTGGCCTGGCACTATAGTCGTGGCAAAGGCTAATCAGATTCGGTTACAAATGTTTGAGAGTTAAGACATTAAACAACTTTCGCAAGATTTCAGCAAAATCTCTAGTGATACAACTTCATAGAAAATTTGTTTGAAGACTTTTATTGTTGCTACAACGTCATATCGTGTGAATGGTCTTATTTTATGTGTATAGTTCCACTATATTAATCTTAGATGACAAAAAAGTTGAATGACCAAACATGCCTGTCTATCATTTAAGTTCATTTCACATTGATATTTAAAATATCAGTTTTCAATATTTCCTTTTCTATTCAACAACTAGCGTACAATTCATGTTCTCTATCGCAGTATGCTTAAGGATAAAACGTATTTGCTGTCTCTGGTCCGAAATGTTACGTCTTTTAAGCTGCTCAACAGTGTCGGGAGATAGTCACTTTCTTTGTTACACACCAGAATCCTTTTATCTACTGTAGATAGTAATAAACTTCAAAAATGGATTTAACATTTGTATCCAAATAAGTTTTCATAACT